TGAAAGTCTCCAATAATAGGTATTAACTGATAGATATGCACACCAAATTCATGAACTATAGATGTAAACAAAAATGATATAGTGGTGACTGTTTACCCAAAGAACATCTCACTACTGGTTGTTATCAGAAAGAGGGAGAAATATCGGCTTGGTAAGATATAGATAAAAATAGTAATATTTTATTATAGGCTATTTTAATATTTAAGTTGTTCATTTTTTAGTAGCTATTTTGCAGTCTTCAGTGTCACACACTGTAAAAAAGAATGTGGCTGGCGTAACTTGGATGTTTAAGTCATTTCAACTTAAATTACATTAAACTGACTTTAAAAAATGAGTTGAATCTTGTATAACTTATATAAAAAGTTGAAAGTTACTTATTTTGACGAGTTAAAGCAATGCTATAACATATGTTGTCATAACTTACTGATCATAACGTTTTTTTTTTACAGTGCATGATCCTTTAGAAATCAGTTTATATTTCTTAAAGTTCTTTCAGTTCAGTATTTTTATTGAAACTGATATATTTTTCAACATTCATAAAAATTTCATTAGCATTAAAAATGTATTTTAATCAATTTAAAGCACACACACACACACACACACACACACGCACGCATGCACGCACGCACACACACAACCCCCCCCCCCCCACACACACACACACACTATCTCATTGTAATGCAATCGGCAGTCAGAAAGAGAGTCAGAAAAGAAAGAAGGAGAGCACATATGGAAAATAAAGAATAATCAGGAGACATAAACTGAAAAGACAAAATAATAGAGGAAGCCAAAGCCAATTAATTAAACATTAAACTCTTCTCTGTAATTAGCAAGAATCATTTTGTCTGTTAATCCCTTTGTTCTTTTTTTCATTTCAATGCAATGTATTTTACTTGACAGGCAGCTCTGCATTTTTTAGGGAAAATTAAATGCCTAACTAACCAAGAAGTCAATAATGTATAAGGGCTATTAAGGAAACCACCTTCTTCTGAACTGCCACATGTGAGAGATAACCAACACGCTGTTCCCAGAGAAGAGAGAGAGCTTTGCTTTTAGCCAAGTGAGCAGCAGGGCTACAGATGGAGATTATCAACTGCTCGCTCGCTCTCTCTCTCTCTCGGCTCCACAGACTGGGGTCTTACACCAATCACACCCCCAAATAAACACACTCCCACCACTGCGCACCCCATGATGTCTGCTGTACCCTTGCTAATTCTTCTCTAAGGATTTCATGAAGAACTGTTTCATTTAATCTGAGATTGGTTGAACGCAGCAGTGCATCTTGAAGGGTTGGTCAAAATCCCTTGCCTCTTCAAATACATATATAATCATATATCATTTTGAATGGTTATATACTTCCTTTATAAAAATCAATAATCAAATATATTCATTATCACATAATAATTTTGATATTCTTGTGCTTGTGAAATTATATTTTCTTAAATGCATGGATGCAAGTAACCAGTTTCTTTTAGGTGCATTCCAATCTTACTTTGAGATTGCATGTAGTACACGCAGGACACGAAGGCCACGTAACCCACAAGGCCGTTTGTCTCTTTCTCTGGGATCAGTAGAAAGGTTAGAGGGTCCTAAAGGCAGCGTGGGCACATATGATTCTTCGCTGGACATATGGTCAAGCTATATTGAGCGTTACTATCAAACTTTAATTGTTGTATTAAAATGTATTCTTTCCAGTATATTTCCTTCCTTGGGAGTAAATGCCAGTGATCTGTTTTTCTCCCAAACGAGTGAATGTTTTAGCAGTATGTTTTGGTATACTTAACTGATAATAAGGAGCTCAGACTCTCTTCAGCCTTGATGGGAGCTGTTATTTGCTAGTGTCTGTTATTTGTGTGTGTGTGTGTATGACATTCTATGTAGGTTCTGGACGTTCGGACCAGACACCCCGGCGCCCTTCTCTAACCTGCGAGGCCACCACAGACCTAAATCTAATGAGTGGACGACAACTATCTTGACTAATGGCGATAGGCACCCCTATCTCCTCACATGTGTTAAATTGTTTAGGCTCTTAATGTTTCTTAGCCAATGAGAATCATTCAACCTGTAAGCAATGACGTAGCTTAGACCTTGGAAATGGTATAACTGCTGTGATCTTTGTAACTGTAAGCGGGGCGGCCTACGAACTCCTGTGTGAGTCTTGAAGCTGACTTCTGCTGATGAAAATGCAAACTATCTTCAGTAAAACTTTTCTTTAATTTTTTATAATTCTGACTCCGGGTCTTCATTCTTCATATCTGGTTCTGGGTCTTTGACTGTATACCCCTTACAATCTCAAACCAATCAAGAGTTCAAATTTCAATTGAAATTCAAGAGTTTGGCCATATAAGACCTTGAGGTGAATTTATTTCATGGTTGGTTTACTATATAACTAGCTTGACTGTCAGCTAACTTGCTAACTCATAGCTAAAGATCAGTTGACCCAGATTTTATTAAACATAAAATTACTAAACAAAACCATGCAATACGGAAGCTAAGCTGGCCAAACTGTTTTTTTTTTGTTGTTGTTTTTTTTACATATTAATAACAAGTAGCTAGCCTATTATTCTATTATTCAGTATTTTTTTATTATGTAAAAATCATTAACATTAAAATGTACATTAACATTAAAATGCTTTTACCGACACTTTTAACCAATTTAAGTATCATCATGAACTAAAATGTACCTAATACCTATACTGTGTATATTTGCAGTTGGCCCAGCCCTTGTTAGTAAACATAAAAGTATTAAACATAAAACAGTGCAATATACTGAAGCTAATGCAGTAGTAAAATCAACCTGGCAAAAATGTACAAATTAAATATTAATAACATGTGACCACCTGGAACACTGCATCAGACGTCTGGCTCACTTTACATAATTTAACGAAAAATAAAAAAATGAATTTTGAATGTCTAAATAGAGGCACAAAACAAACACTCTGGAGGATCAAATCCATTGTTCATTCATCATTCAGGCTAAATTAGGCAAACAATAGAGATCAAGAGAAGTGCACAAATCAATCTCTATACTCTCAACATGGATAGCGGTCACGTCTACATTCAGACTTGTGTATTTATTTAGATATAAAATGCACGCCATGGAGAGATGAATAATGTAAACAGAATTAACCACATGCTAGGAAATATGTGGACACCTGGAAAGAGTCTTGTGGTTGCCATGGCTATGTGGTTTTCCAGTCACAGGTTCATAAAAGAAAAGATTAATATTGATCGTCTTGTGGAAAAGTCTTACCTATGAGGCTATTAGAAGAACAGCCGTACTTGGCAGAGATTATTGACCTCTTTAAAATGTCTGGCCGATCACTAGTTGCCAGAGTCTTCAGTAGTAAGCAGAGCAACGGGGTGAATCACAGCCTCTCATTGTAAGAGATTGTTTCACTTTGCTTTGTGCTCTGACAGCCTATCAAGAGCCAGTGTGCAGTTAGACAGCCTGTCAGCCTCATGTTGTGTTATTACCTCTAACTATACAGAAATGTGGAAAAATAGGATTTCGGAACAATAGGAATCCTTTCTTTGCAGTTCTACAGTGCTTTGGCAATAAAAGAGACCGATTCAAAGGGATTTTTTGGAAGTCCTTTTGTGTACAGTCTCCTATAGCCTTGTTGCCATGTGAACAGCCTGAGCAGGAAATCCAAGCTTTTCAAGAGCCATCTTATAGACTGTAGTGTGTATACATAAGTAATCAATTTAACCGTAATGTTTTTTTCTTATCTCTGATAAAATACTGTACTGAATGTCAGACTTCAAAAAAAGAAAACACGAGCAAACAAGAATGTCCAAAGGTAATTGTTTTTAATTTGGTTCTATACTCTGTTAAATTAAACGTGTACATCTCAGAGAGCCAAAGCTTAAAGAACAAAACAAAACAAAAAAACTCCCTTTTTCACAATGCTTGGGAAAGGAGTGCATTTGAGAGGAGCAGAAGCATGACAAGTCCTTGGATGCTTTAAATAATGACCTTACAGTATTATATTGCTGCATTCAGTGGCAGAAATGTGCATTTCATCACATGCACTCACCTTGTCTGATTCTTGTCTGGCTCCACATTTCAGGAATACTCTGTACATCTTGTTAAAACACTTCCTATAGATTTCTCATTCTTAATTGGGCTTCACCATGAGACACTTAACATGCCCGAGTGTGTAACAAACACATTAAACCAATCAACACTACTGAAAAGTGTGAGGTCTCACCCTATTTTTTTTCTTTCTTGTCCTCTTCCCAACAATCACAACCCTCTTCAATCATTACCTAAACATGATTCTCACAATCTGTGAGCCATCACACATCTGATATAAACCATCCTGTGCTGATGAGGTATGAATAGAGATGAGGGGCTTTTTACACGACACCATTTTCAACTAATAAGGGAAAACTTTTTATACATTTTGGCTGCTCATTTATACGACAAACTCTGTTTTGGGGGCCTGAAAACACAAACTTTTGAAAACGGGTTACAAAGTGTAAGTTGTTGAAAACAATAGCGGTATAGCCTCCGTGTAAACTACAAAAAACGTGTGAAAAAGGTGACGTCATGCGCATGTGTATTACGTGTTCAGTCTATAGGCACGTAGTGTTTCTTTACAAAGTGACATCAACTACTGGCCTGGCAGCACAATACAGTGTTTTTGTCATTTTTACACATCCGTGTGAAAAAGGATTGTTTTGACAACGATTCATTTGTACGTGACAATTTTCAAAATCGCAAAGGAAAAACGTTCATGTTTTTAGTTCGTCGCTGTCGTGTAAATGCTTGTTGTACAAGCTTGTTTGTTTTTGTTGTAATTTCAGCAAAAGAACAAATAATAGCACAGAGCGGGCATCAAATATTGATTTTCGGGCGCTTTGGAATTACAAAGGTTGAGAACCGCTGTTCTATTAAACACAACTAACAGCATCACATTTGTAAGAGGAACTGATACAGGACACACAAGTAAAATGGCATTGTGTAATAGAAGCTTTGTTCAGGACAGAGAGTCTGTTCATGGTGATTGATGCTGGGAGGGATATTGCTTATATTAATGATAAGTAGAACAAAGATACAGATCACAAATGTTATTTCATCACTGATGATGTGAGTCGATGAAAAGAAGAAGCTGGGTACAGTTCACTTTTTGGGCTGTGCTGCTATATAAAGAGCCACAAGACAGTAGAGAGCTCCCCCGACTGTCAGAGCCATGGTGGTCCTGTACAAGAGTCTGTCTGGAACACCTCGCTTCAGATGGACAGGAATCTCATCTGAGGCCTGAAGAAGAAACCGGGAGAGGGAAGAATTATGTATGCTTCTTTTTTCCCCTGTTAAATAATGAGATAGTCCACCCAAAATTGAAAAATGAACACAAAAGATGATCTTTTGAAGTATGTTGGTAACTAAAGAGTTTCAGTTCTCATTGACTGCCACTGTATTTAATGTCCATACAATGGAAGTCAAGTCAATAGGAAGCGAATCCGTTTGGTTACCAACATTCTTTAAAGTGTCTTATTTTATGTTCATTAGAAGATAGAAAGGCATACATGAGGTGGAATAAATTATGACAGAATTTTCCTATCCCTTTAACTCAGCTACATAGCTTAATACATCACATACACACCTGAAATATCCTCTGGAGGTCTTGAACCTTGTTGGCACCCATATACTCCACTGCAGCACCTGACTCAGACACCAGTTTAGTTGGTGTGGCAAAGATGATTGTAGGGGATTCAGAAGGTATATTTGACCTCAAGCCCTAAAGGAAGTTTACAGACAGGTTAAGTTGATTTTTTTTTTTCCACTAGGACTATATAATATTTTTACTCAAAATGTTTTTACCTCTCCCCTGTTTTTTTTAAATTCACATTTTCTACTTGATACAATATATACAAATAAAATGTATAAAAATCTTTATAAATGTATTGTTTGAATATTTTATTAATTTACATGACTTTTCCAAGTCTTTAATTATTTTTTATTTTTTACTTAAAAGCATGAGCCCCCCTTGAAAGTTTTCTGAGATCCCCCTAGTGGGCCTCGACCGCGCCTGGTGGAGAACCGCTGATCTATCTATCCGATGTTGCTCTTAACTATTGCCTTTTGTTGTGAAATGAGTTTAGGATTCTATAACCAGTGCTGAAATTGGTCATCTGTCTGAAAAAAATACAAATACTACTACCATATTTTGGAAGTCATAGTAGTAGTTAAATGTAACTTAGCTCAAGTTGCTCAACTAAGTAACTGTATTCAGTAAGTAGATTTTGGTGTGGATAATCATAATAATGATAATTAGCCTGTATAATCTTTTCGGTTACAATACTACTAGAGACATGAATTTTACGTAGGCTATCTAACGACTGTTTTAACAATTCTATGGCTCACAAGGAGCAAGTAGCAGCAGATCAAGGTCACTGAATTAACCTTTTAGAAACGGAATAACGCGCACATACCTGAGGGTTGTAGGCGGAGGTTGGCAACGCTCCCGTTAGTCTTTGTGTGAACCCACTAAATTTGTAATACATTTTGGTAATTAGTGGTAAGCGGCGAGGACGAGGTGAGAGTGACCGTCGGGATGGGATGGCGCAACTCAACCGGCTTTTCGATTGCGTAAGGATGTGTCGCGCGAATATGACGTCATTAAAGCTAAACCTGTTAAAAGTCGGGAAAAAAATGCTGGGATTTTGTTTGATTTCGTTGATAGATATAATTTATTATAATATTTTGTTAAATCATCTGTGTCAAATTTTGTATTTGTTGGTATGGCTGTTTTTGTGTTTTAGAAGGCTATTAGGCTATCTTTTGAGCCCAAGTGCTGTCAATCAACTGTCAATCGATCAAGAAACTTTCTGTTATTAATCGCGATTGATCGCACCTAACAATACAATTTTTAATATGTATTTTATTTTTAATACATAATTTCACACTGAATCTCCAAATTAATGTTAACTACATTAAGATGGTAGCCTATTTTATTATTATTATTATTATTATTAGGCTACAATCAATGAAGGCCAGTATCACAAATAGCAATATTGCCACTAATGTCTCTATTAAATTGATTTTACTCAATTTCTGGGGATGAAATAAGTAATTATAGCCTTTCAACATTACAGTAATTGAAACCCATTTGATCATTTAGAAAAATCCTTAGTGTTGAGCACTGCTATATCAAAGGCACAGCTAAATCTAAAATTGGTTATAAATGGTTTATGTGAAGACTGCTTTAAATTAACTTAAATTAAAAGTTGTTATATTTTTAAAAGCCATACTTTCATACTCAATTTTATTTCTTAATAGCCATATACTCAATTTTCACATCCCTAAATAATGTTGAGTTTATTAATCCCATCTTGTAGCCTAATATATTTTTTTGTTGCTAGGAGGTTGCTAATAGGCTACAATGCTAAATAAGATAGGCTAGGCTAGGCCTAACCAATTTTAGGGAAAGAAATAACATTACGATGTCTAGAAATCAATTTCAATAGTAACGTTACATTGGGTTTAAATTGTCTTTTAATGAGATCTACCAATAATAAATATTGTCAGTATATTTCACGTGAATAAATGCATAGATCCGCGGAATATGCTTGTGTACCGTAGGCCTAGTGGTCTGGTGATAGATTGATAGATTGAAGCGCCCGTCCGTGTGAAGACTGTGCGAGCCATAAGAAAACACTTTATCCATGACACTAATAGCAGCGGCAACGAGCACTTGATTTAAAAAACAACACATTTTAGCGCTAGATCGTCTCTATAACGAACTATATAAATGCTCTGCTAGTTAACTGGAGATGTTTTATTTATTTGTATTAGGTCTGTGCCTCGAAATGTTTCAAAAAGTGGTGGGGACAATATCAACCCTGCAAGTGGTGGGGACAATATCAACCCTGCAAGTGGTGGGGACAATATCAACCCTGTGAAAAAGTGGTGGGGACAATATCAACCCTGAGAAAAAGTGGTGGGGACAATATCAACCCTGAGAAAAAGTGGTGGGGACATGTCCCACCCGTAAATTAGGCCTACGCCTATGCTCCATATAATGTGTTCAGTGATCTCTGTCTTGAGGAATAATGGTGGAAATGTGCACGAATGTTTTATTATAGCCGAAGGTGTTGTCACGTCTGGTTGCAGCAGGATGAAATAAAAGCGCAGGATTTAATTGCAGCAATCTTCTCTTTATTAAACAAAACAAAATACTCAGAAATCATTGTCTAGAACCATAGGCAGAGAAAAACCAAACATAATAAGACGAGAACGGACCAAGAACTGAACAGAACACAGGGGACTTGGAGATCATTAGATCATACTAATCAATGAAATGAGACACAACGTATAGCCTACATAACTAATCAAACAATGAGTAACAGAAGCGGGAACAAGGAACAAACAGAGCAAAACCAAGGCTGCATCCGAAATCGCAAACTCTCTTGTGTGGGTAGGCCTACTTATTTTGAATAAGTAATTACTTCACGACTGTTAAAACAGCATATTCTATAAATGAATGTGTATTAAATGAATGTAATTCGGACAAACTGCCATGTTGTCATTATCATCTACCAGTGTCAGTAGCCACCAGGCCGCTTCACTGCCCTTCATGAATCCTCTCCCGTGGCCTGATGGGATAGTAAGGTGTCCATCATATGCACACTTCAGAATCTCCGGAAGTAGTAGGTCACCTGGGTACTTTTTGCCTACTCTTATATGAGTGGGCTACTGTGAATTCAGACATACTTCTTTTGTCATACTGTTACTATATAGGTATATAGGTGTATGCGATTTCGGATGTGGCCTAAAACTTAAACACAGGAAAAAAACAAGACATAACCCTGACAGGTGTGCCTGTACAGAAATTGCTTTTCAAAAATAAAGCCACCCTAATATTCACTGGAGTAAAAACTGGCACCTATAGACACAGTCATCCTATTTAAAACATTCAGAGGTACTTTGTCTTTGCTTAACATATTTCACATTTGTGCCACATTCCACATTCTTGTATTATAACAATCAGGCTTGAATCAGTAAACATTTCTTTATTTTCTTCACAGACATAAATAATCTTGTCTTTACCAAATAGAATACATTTTAGGTTACAGAATAGAGCTACATAAGATTTCATTTGCATCATTATGACCCTTTAAAATAGCCACAAATACAGCTACAAAATGATACAGCTATGAAGGCATGTCTCCATACAGATGCAAAAATAAACATTGTGTGGTGTGACGTCAACCAAGCAATGTTTCTGCAATTAAGATCCCAACACTGACATGACGATTTAAGCTAAAGACAAATGATGTCATTATAGGATAACCTGAATTAATCAATGCACTCTATCTTAATTTTGACATTATCATCAATTTAGCTAAAACAAATCTGTATTATATAGTCAATATGTTTCCAAACTGTTCTTGATGCTTAATGAAATACTTTTATAAAATCGACTCTATTCCCATCAATAAATCATATCATGTGCTGCATATCTTACTAAATACAACCCAAAATCTTTTTTTCCAGGAGACACAAACTCAGAAAGTCCCTTGAATGAGGAAAAGAGGTTTGATTTTGTGCTTGTATTCAAAGAGGAAGAAGGAAGCGAGTGACAGCCCTCCTACTGGTGAGCGTGTGGGTGAGGTGTTTGCTAATCAATTTAGTTAACGCCTCTTGATTCACACAGTCGTGTATGGACAGGTTGCAGACTTGTCGCTGTCTGGATGAACAGCTGATGTTTGTTTTTTTGTGGCTTAGTAATGTTAACTACCATTCTATGAGTAAGACCTTTAACTTCATTTGAAACTGCACATTCAACAGTGTCAAAACAATCACAGTATTTGCTTCCGTATCGCTTCTATGTGGCCACTCTAAAACCTTTTACTTTGGTTTCCCTTGCTTTGCCACTTTATTGGGAGCTGAATTAATGATTTAGCAAGTCGGAGGGACCTCTCCATGGAAACATGAGAATTTGTGTAAGCTCCTTCTAGGCTGGAGCACTGACAGGACACAAGGTCCCGCCAGATGCCCGTTCCAGGCAGCCTGGCCATCTGTAGTCGTCAAATGCCACAGTTGTCCATTTTTTATACACTGAAAAATGCTGTTGGATCGGGTTTATTCGTTCACACAGGAAGGGGGTTACAACACAAACATTGGCTTATGTATTTCCTTTGGATCGTAATTCTTTATTGTGCACTTTCCAGCTTTGATTTGTCTCTTTTGTCCTGTTCTGTTAGTCCCAGGATGGACAGAAATGGTTCCAGATGCCTGTAATTGTCAACATCGGTGTGTCCTTGAGTACAGAGGTACTTGTGTTATTATTTGGATATAATAGAGAGTCTAAACGCTGATTTTTTCCCCAAACAGAATAGCGCTATATTTTAGATCTTGGTACAAAATAAAGGCACAGAAGAGCAGGTGATGTTGCTAAGCTGAAGACCAGCAGGTTTCAGAGGATCTCATGACGAACTGTGCGACAGTCAGTTGAGAAACTCGGAGGAGAGACTTCGCACGCAGCGTGCTGAGCGGAATTTGAGTTCTTGGTAGCACTGCACAAAGCTGTGGTAGATAAAGGTAATGGGCAGAGCCAGCAGCACAATGCCACTCACAACGCACACGCCACCCAGCACGCGTCCCGGAATGGTGATGGGATACATGTCTCCATAGCCGACGGTGGTCATGGAGATAATAACCCACCAGCAGGCTGCCGGGATGCTGGCGTAGTCCTCATTGCTAGTCTCCAGGTCAAGGCCGTGCTCCAACAGCTGTGCCAGGGCGCTGAATATCGCCATTGCGACGCAGACAAACACCAGCAGCATGACCATCTCGCGGTAGCACCTGCGCAGCGTCAGTCCGAGCGTCTGCAGCCCGAGGAAGTGACGCGCCAACTTGATTAGCCAAAAGACGCGCATCATTCGTAATACACGCAGGGTGACTCCCGCTCGCTGTAGCTGAGGGTTTTCTCCAGTCAGCGCTGTCATAGCGACAGACACATAGTAAGGAGTGATCGCCAGCAGGTCAATAATATTAAGGGGGCGGCGCACAAACTCACATTTGTCCCGTGAGACAATGAAACGCACTATGCATTCGGCAGTAAACCAGCCGATGCAAACCGCCTCGATAATCCTGTGTGAAATGGGGAGAATAGAGAGAAAGAGATATGGGAAGAAAAACACAAAGAGAAAGTTAGAGGTTATGACGGGGATATGATTACATTTTTTTGTTTCTGGGTTCAGTGCAAGTTAAGCTCAAGTGACAGCATTTGTGGCATAATGTTGTTTTACCACACAAACAAACATTTATTTCCACTCGTTCCTCCTCTCTTCACTCTAGGAAAAAAAAGGTTCAGTGGGATTCTAAATAGAACCTTAGGGTTCTTGGCTCAATTTTAAAGAACCCTTTATGCCAAAAAGGTTCTATATAAGGAGAAAATTATTGCATAATACTTTTATGTTTAACATGTTTCAGTTTTTTAAAAACAAATCCATAACTAAATCCTTTTGCAAACACCTAAAAGGTTCTATATATGGAGTGCCTGACATAATCTTTTAAAGGGATAGTTCACCCAAAAAGGAAAATTCTGTCATTAATAACTCTAAATCCCTCATGTCGTTCTAAACCCAGACTTTCGTTCATCTTCGGAACACAAATGAAGATCTTTTTGATGAAATTTGAGAGATTTCTGTCCCTCCATTGATAGTCTATGCAACTACCACTTTGATGCTTAAAAAAAGGTCATAAAGAGATTGTAAAACTCATCCATATGAATTGAGCGGTTTAGTACAAACTTTTCTGAAGAGACTCGATCGCTTTACACTGTATGATGAACAGATTGAATTTAGGCTTTTATTCACATATAAACATTCATCAACTCACACATCAGTTGTGGTAAACAGGAGCTCAAGCATGTTTGCTTGAAGTGCGAGAACCAATGAGGTTCATTCTCGTGTTACGCAACACGTTTGAGCTTCTGCAAGAGGTTTGTTCTCGCGCGTCAAGCAGGTTCGGTTGAGCTTCTGTTCATGGTCACTGATCAATGTTAAAATGTGAATAAAATAATTCTGAAAATTCTGAATTAAATCTATTCATTTAAAGCGATCGAGTCTCTTCAGGAAATTTGGACTAAACCGTTAAATTCATATGGATTCGTTTTACAATGTCTTTATCAACTTTTTGAAGCGTCAAAGTTTCAATGGTGTAGCTGTCAATCGAGGGACAGAAAGCTCTCAGATTTATTCAAAAAGATCTTCATTTGTGTTCCGAAGATGAACATTTCTTCTAAGAGTGTGTTTATTTTTGTTTCATTTTTCTCTGTGTAAGCGCCTTGAAAAGATTGCTTTAAAAACGCTATATAATTATAATTATTTAAAAATGTACAATTCTAGGTAACAGTATGGCACTTACAATAGAAGTAAATGGGACCAATCTGAATCTGTTAACATTAAAATACTCACTGTTTCAATAGTGATAGCCACAAAACAAGCAATATGCATTTTAACACGAATTTGTATTTTTTTTTTTTACATTTAGTCATTTAGTAAAAAAATAACCTTTTTCGTGTGACGTTCTATCCAATTTTATCCAACTTTCTCAATGCAACTGTAAAACCCTAAACCAACGATAAAAATTACAACATAACAGCTCAAATAATACACAATTTATAGAAGAATTAATGTAAGTGCTTTTATATAATCACGCTTCACATTTCTTCCTTTAAAAATTGGGCCCATTCACTTCCATTGTAAGATTCTTACTGTAACCTTGATTTTTTTTCTTTTTAAGATAACAAGGGACAAATCTAAACATTTTTGTGTGGTATCAACCTTATGCCACAAATGCTGTTTATTCAGATTAACTTGTATCAAACCTGGAATATTCCTCTACCAACAATACACTCGCAAGAATATTATCAGTGAATGTGAAAATAATAATTATAACCACTAAAAATGTTGCTAAGTATCCTTCAAATAAGTTTCAGCTTTGTTATTTTAAATAAACAAGTCATGCAAAGTGTTTAGATCAGATTCCATGCAGCCATGCGGTCAATGTGCTTTCTATGGAAAATGTCCTCTCATTCAGATCGTGTAAACAGCTCCAGTGTTTTGTTGACAGTGTCAGTGTCTATGGAAGCTGAAAGGCAGGAAGTTACGCTTGCTCAGTATTCCTTGAACTTACAATCCCTCCACAAAAAAAAAAAAAGAAATAGATTTTTTTATATTTGAGTGAGTGCACATTCAACTTAATCTCCTTTTAATATTTGAACAAAGAAATTGATTTGTGAAAGGCTGCATATAAAGAATTTGCTCCAGAATTTGCTCTTTCACTCTGAATGGTTTTACTGTAATGTTCAAAGCAAATTTATAGAGCTGTGATAGACTTGGAATTACAGTGAGGACAGCTGTTTCGGACATGAATGCATGTAAACAGGGCCAAGAATACTGTGAAATAAGGGAAGATGTGATAATATATGTACATGTGCCCACAAATGCTAGAGGTTAACAGCAAGTGCATATAATCATTCCTCAGTAGGCATGATGAACATAAAAACTATACATTTGGACCTCTACAGGCAACGAATGAACGGACATTTAAAGATGAATACAAAGCATGGGAATGATATCCACATTTTTGAAAATACTGTAAGACTGCATGCATGAAAAACCAAACTGGGTTTATTTCCAGCTCGTCACACACATATGAGAACATACCTGAACCCTGAGACAAACAGGGGCCACTGTGGGAAATGGAATCAAGACTGCACTGGATACATAAAGAAAAAACCTTATGCCCTACTCACAAATACTTCCAGACAGAGAGAGAGAGAGAAGAGAGAGAGAGAGAAGAGAGAGAGAGAGAGAGAGAGACGGCGACAAGGGAATTCACCCAAAATGACAATATGACCCAATTCAGGGAATATGAAAACATGACTGGAATTTTTAATCTCTGATGGAAAGAACCAGGAAGATGTCATGTTCTCATTGGATGATGATAAAATGTATGCATAATATAGCATATAGAGATTTAATGTTAATAATTTCTACAGCCGGTCTAAATGCAGGGAAGACATGCATGTTGGAACATGACGTGTGTCATAACAACATCAGTTTAACCAATTAAGGTAAGGGGTTCAAATTCAAATATATGTTCAAGTTCAAAAGAAATCACCACTGTCCTGAGGTCACAGTAAAGGTTTTAATTCTCTTAGAAAAAATATAATGGATCCAAGGGTCAGAAAACTATGTTAAGGTAATAAAATAGGCGAATTTTCATCTGGATTATAATTTGATTTGTAATCATGTTAGTAGATGCTAAATGTCAAAATGTGTATGATCACTAGGTTCTGTTGTTTAATTTGATAGGCTATATAACATCCACGCAAACTGAGCAGATTAGGGTTAGTAACACTACAAAGAAAACACAAAATGGGAGTGTTTATATTGAGTGAATGATTCACAAACACTCTGTCTATTAGAGTTGTTTTTGCATAGTTACTATTTTGGACAAATAACTATATGATTAACATAATAATTTAATGCATGGACAAATATAAAATCTCCATGTTTTCGACTGGTGTTACAACTCGCTCCTGTACTGAGATAGATTGTAGCCTACGTACTACTTGCCATTAATTTATTTTGCACAGTTTGGGGAATATATAGACTCGTCTAATTTAATTTGTAGCAGACAGATATGAGAATAGTATATTAAAAGTTTGAGACACATAACGCAAAAACCTCTAACAGTTACAGACGCTGAAACGAAATGTGTTACAACAGTCCCCGGTCTCCCCTGCAGAGCTCATGCTGACGTCAGATATTTTTGGCGACGTCTACTGGCCAATCAAAGTACGTCAATTAGAAAACAAATATCACCATCGCAATACTTCGCAGCCCTCAAGCCTGCATTATCAGCATGCGAATGATGCTGAAATGTGGTTTTTGTGTTTTCCGATGCTAATATTGATTTTCCTGTACTAGGCCACATGTAAAAAGGAAATAAATCAGCAATAATATTTAAAGAATGGTAATTGCATTTAAATATTACTGCATATATACATTATAGCCTATTATTCAAAGTGTCCTCCTGATTGATTGATCACGTCACATGATTTGAAAGTCCAAATTCATCCTAATTTTCTGTAAACAGAAAAATTGTCAACGCACTTATTAAGATTTCAGTTTAACTTTCATGTCAGTGTTGCTTTCATTTTTAATGGGGAAAAGGTGATCTGAATGGAGCTCGCAAAGGAATAGGATACAAAACATGGTAAGAATCAAACAGACAGACTAAGTAGCCCAAGTTCAGGGGGGCAAACCTGTACCGTCACAAAATACATCTGAGATCCTATGTGTGCAGAAGAGCACGATTCCTTCAATTATATATGGAGCTATGGAAGGTGGGCATGCTCATAAAACTGAGCTGTCCTGTGAGAGATACCTAATTTTTAATGAATTTGTACGTATACCACAGACCACATAAGTTGAATTCATGCATATACCTGTGTTCTTCCACTGTATTGTTTTTTGCTGTATCCCAGTCCGGCAGAGTGCTCGCACAGAGGATAACCATAGACATAATGACAAAAATCACTGACACTGATGCCAGGATCTGCGCAGCGAGAGAAGAAGCAGGCTCCTCAAAAGTCCTCCTCATCCTCTCCAGCCACCGCGCGTTCCCTGTCTCCGGGGCGAGCCTGGTGACCTGATCCTCCTCACTCCTGGACTCCACCTCTGCCTTGATGTCCTCCTCTGAAACGTACGTGTATGTGTCGGACATCCTTTCCTCCAGTCTTCTCTGGCAACAAAACTCCAAATGCGAGCTCTCCAAACCCCAGTAGATCATCTCGTTGTAAAAGGAAAGCTCGCACATCTGCGGGACAAACCTGAGCTTTCCAGATCGGACATAAAGCATAATAAAGACAAACGCCTCAGAGTGCCTGTCGAAGAAAAACTCGTTCCTCTCTCGGTCATAATCATCACATACCTCCAAGACCTCCTTTTCAGAGGAGCAGCTGTGGAGTCTGCTCACTCTTCGGAGGGGAAAATCCTTGATAACTTCTCTTGTGAACGCATACTTGGTGCCACCGACGTTTAGGATGCATATATTCTTCCCAAACTTCATTTTGGATCAGATTGACATCATCGATTCGAGTGAAAAAGAGAGAAACGACGTGCAATATGGATTAATGATGGTCATAGTTAAAATCCAATAAATTTCTGTAAGCACGAGGAAAAAAACAACAGCTCCAAACTCGCGAATCCAAATCAGTATAGGCTATGTCAGATTATAAAGGGATTTTTTTCTTCCAGGTTGAGCGCGTGTCACTTAAGGGAACCGTGGAAAAGTGACTTGTTTCTTTGTGCATCATCTAAACTCCAGCCTTCAGTGGGCTGTTTCATACAGTGATGTCACAGATCGACAAGCCTATTGCGCTCTCGATCATGAGCTCCCGAGGACGGGCGTTCCCAAACGAATTTTTTTTTTTTTTTTTTTTTTTTTTTACGACGCATGATTTACAAGTGAACTTGCTACACGGTTGATGAAGTAGGCTAGACCCTAGGGGACATGTCACATTGGGGAACTCAATTAAATATTCAATATTAAAAATCAATGCATGTTTTTTCCCCTTATTGGTTGTCCAGCCACACCTAAAACTAAAATCAGACATTGAGCCCTAGCAGTGTTATGCAAAAGAGATTAATTAATTTAGTAATTTAGATCATGTTCAAGAAATGAAACTATTTTATTGCTTTTTTATAAATGTTTCCCGTGTTTTCGGTCGGCTGTTTAGAATTAGAATTGGCTGACGAGTCGAATTAAGAGTGGGGGTTCAATCTTCAACTGGCTGGCAGGAGCCGCCACTGGCAGGTCATGTGACCTGTCAGTGGCTGGCTGGCAGCTGCCAGTCTGCCACTGGCAGCTGCCAGTCAGCCACTGACAGGTGCAGTGGCTGACAGTGGCTGGCTATAGTAGTCTATTTGGCAAGTTTCAGAAACCATCGATTTTGGACAGTTTTTGTGTTTTGTGTTCCTCCCTTTCTAGCTCATTTATTATGAATCTGTTGATATGAATAATGTTCTTTAGTATGATTGCTGTTTTGTGAACTGTTATCCCAATATAACCAGTCAAATATGGCCGTGATCAGACTGGCAGCTACAGACGCTCGCTGGACGCTCATCCAGTCAGCCGCGGCTGAGACTGCGAGTCTAACGCGTCGCCTGACACTCTCGCTACAAGGAAATACATTGTTTTCTTTTTATAAATATAATGACATGCCTTTATTCTTGTGGAGGAATGATGTTTTAGGGACTGTTATCCCAATATAACCAGTCAAATGGCTGTGATCAGACTGGCAGCTACAGACGCTTGCTCGACGCTCATCCAGTCAGTCGCGGCTGACAGTGCGAGTATAACGCGTCGCCTGACACTCTCGCTGCATGGAAATAAATTGTTTTCTTATTATGAATATAATATCATGCCTTTATTCTTGTGTATGATTGATGTTTTGGGGACTGTTATCCCAATATAACCAGTCAAATGGCCGTAATCCGACTGGCAGCTTACAGACGCTTGCTCGACGCTCATCCAGTCAGTCGCGGCTGATAGTGCGAGTATAACGCGTTGCCTGACACTCTCGCTGCATGGAAATAAATTGTTTTCTTATTATGAATATAATGTCATGCCTTTATTCTTGTGTATGATTGATGTTTTGGGGACTGTTATCCCAATATAACCAGTCAAATGGCCGTGATCCGACTGGCAGCTTACAGACGCTTGCTCGACGCTCATAGTGCGAGTATAAAGCGTTGCCTGACACTCTCGCTGCATGGAAATTAATTGTTTTCTTATTATGAATATAATGTCATGCCTTTATTCTTGTGTATGATTGATGTTTTGGGGACTGTTATCCCATATAACCAGTCAAATGGCCGTGATCCGACTGGCAGCTAACAGATCTTGCTCGACGCTCATCCAGTCAGTCGCGGCTGATAGTGCGAGTATAACGCGTTGCCTGACACTCTCGCTGCAAGGAAATAAATTGTTTTCTTATTATGAATATAATGTCACGCATCTATTCTTCTTTGCAACTGCACACTGTGTGTGTGTTGAATAATAGTTTAAGTGCGACAAGCAATGGCATATAGATTCTTGATTTTTATTTGTAAATATATTTTTTTATTTGTTTTTATTTGTAAATAGTTTTTTTCTTGGGTTTTATTTGTAAATAGTCTTTGTAAATTTGAAAATAGTGATACAGTCTGTGCTAAGTGATTTTACCGTTAAAGTTGGCATTCTTTTATTGAATTATTAAAAAGCTTTCTTTTATCAAATTATTTAAAAGCATCTCTATTTTGTTCTGGTGTCAGAAAATGGTCAAGGCAATGACAAAGATTCATGTTATTGGGATTAATTCAAGTTCGGGACGATTTTAATCCTTGTGAAAAAGTAGCCTATAAAAACGTGAATTAATCCCAATAACATTGTCATTGCCTTGACCATTTTCTGACACCAGAACAAAATAGAGATGCTTTTAAATAATTTGATAAAAGAAAGCTTTTTAATAATTCAATAAAAGAATGCCAACTTTAACGGTAAAATCACTTAGCACAGACTGCATCACTATTTTCAAATTTACAAAGACTATTTACAAATAAAACCCAAGAAAAAAACTATTTACAAATAAAAACAAAGAAAAAAATATATTTACAAATAAAAAACAAGAATCTATATAGGCCATTGCTTGTCGCACTTAAACTATTATTCAACACACAAACAGTGTGCAGTTGCAAAGAAGAATAGATGCGTGAGATTATATTCATAATAAGAAAACAATTTATTTCCATGCAGCGAGAGTGTCAGGCAACGCGTTATACTCGCACTATGAGCCGCGACTGACTGGATGAGCGTCGAGCAAGCGTCTGTAAGCTGCCAGTCGGATCACGGCCATTTGACTGGTTATATTGGGATAACAGTCCCCAAAACATCAATCATACACAAGAATAAAGGCATGACATTATATTCATAATAAGAAAACAATTTATTTCCATGCAGCGAGAGTGTCAGGCAACGCGTTATACTCGCACTATCAGCCGCGACTGACTGGATGAGCGTCGAGCAAGCGTCTGTAAGCTGCCAGTCGGATCACGGCCATTTGACTGGTTATATTGGGATAACAGTCCCCAAAACATCAATCATACACAAGAATAAAGGCATGACATTATATTCATAATAAGAAAACAATTAATTTCCATGCAGCGAGAGTGTCAGGCAACGCGTTATACTCGCACTATCAGCCGCGACTGACTGGATGAGCGTCGAGCAAGCGTCTGTAAGCTGCCAGTCGGATCACGGCCATTTGACTGGTTATATTGGGATAACAGTCCCCAAAACAGCAATCATACTAAAGAACATAATCATATCAACAGATTCCTAATAAATGAGCTAGAAAGAGAGGAACACAAAACCTAAAAAATCAATGGTTTCTGAAACTTGCCAAAGGCAGACTGCCAGACAACTAGCCAGCCACTGGCAGGTCACGTGACATGCCAGTCTCAGACTGGCAGCTGCCAGCCAGCCACTGACAGGTCACGTGACCTGCCAGTGGCGGCTCCTGCCAGCCAGCTGAAGATTGAACCCCCACTCGCCATTTGACTGGTTATATTGGGATAACAGTTCACAAAACAGCAATCATACTAAAGAACATTATTCATATCAACAGATTCATAATAAATGAGCTAGAAAGGGAGGAACACAAAACACAAAAACTGTCCAAAATCGATGGTTTCTGAAACTTGCCAAATAGACTACTATAGCCAGCCACTGTCAGCCACTGCACCTGTCAGTGGCTGACTGGCAGCTGCCAGCCAGCCACTGACAGGTCACGTGACCTGCCAGTGGCGGCTCCTGCCAGCCAGTTGAAGATTGAACCCCTACTGCGAATTAATCACGTTTCAATGAATCATTCCAACAGGTTACCAAAACTGTCTGAATCGATTCGCGAATCAGCCTGAATGATTCGAAAATCTGACTCGTGCAGTGATCAGTTACAGAAATTAGTAGGTTATATCTTAATTTTTTTTTAATCGGCATCTAGGCTATTAGTTAGATTTTGGCTTACACTTTACAATAAGGTTTTTAGAAACCTTTTATAAATGCTGTAAAAATATATTGCTCATTGTCAGTTCATGTTAGTTAATGCATTCACATTAATTAAGACCTTAATGTAAAGTGTTACCATTTTTTTCAATGTAGAGTACCATCCATGCTTCCCAGAGTTAAATCTATTTATTGAAATTTTTTAAAAGCCTTACATTATAAAAAAAAAAAAGCCTTACATTAAACATTTTTATGTTTATTATTTTTTAATATGACTTTTTAAAATGAAATGTACATGACCAAGTTTGATTTTATCTTCTGTGCAAAAAAAAAAAAAAAAAAAAAAAAACAATCATGAGTGTCAAGTTGAGGGTTCAGACTATAGATTTCATTCACCCTCCTCATTCCCTCCCTCCCTCCTCTTTTCTCTCCTCCTCTCTCATCATCAGGAAGCTGCTGCACTCGAGCCTTTTCTAGCGCGTGAGTTACTGTATTGTACTGTGAATCTCTGGAGGGGGGCTGCAAAAAAATCTCCTATTCTTACAGAGGTCCATCCCCCGTACCTATAACATCTTAAGCCAGTTTGCTTTATAACAGGTCACAGGACGTAGATGTCTTTTTGATTCACATATTTATTTTGTTTTTATTTTAGTTTATGGTTTGGTTTTTTAACACTCCGGGAGGGCAGAAATGGCGGCCAACATGTACCGGGTCGGAGGTATGTCCGTCTATATTCTGAATTAACGCAAGTCAAAACACAGGCACCGCCGCCAGACCTGTCTGGGAGGCAGGGGTTCATTTCAGCTCAATTCCCGCAACCGGCCGCTCACTTTTAAATTCTTAACACGTGGAGTGTCATTGCAAAAGAAAGCGATAACGTGGATGAGAATATTTTGGGTTTTGATGTGGGTCAGGCCTCTTAAACTATCATAGCCGCACTAGCATTTTAGCAAGCAGGCTATGTTGCTAGCTAGCCACATCATAAACAAATAATCACTTCTATATGTAAAGCACATGGGATTACTCATATATTGCACATTTCTCTTGGTTTTGTCCATATAGGATAAAGGCCAGATATGCTTGCGACCTGGCCATGCCTATTTTTGACGCCGATGTTTTTCTTTGTGATCATTTGTCTCTTTTTTGGCACGTATCCATTAGTTACGGATCCTCATTCAGCATGCAAGGTAGCAACGCGAGCTAGCATTTAACAGCAACCCCCCTCACTCGGCTTTCCACAGAGAAACCATATTGAGCTTCTGCCACTTATTCACTGAAACATTATGAATATGCACTATTTTGAGGTGTATTTGTTGTCATGTATCTAATCATCAACACGTCTACTATAAAACCGCCGCGTCGTTTGTTTGTGGCATTAGCCGGCTACATGATAGTCAGTGCCGCGGAATTTGACATTGTTTCATGGCGCCGTTAATTCAGTGCCATTGTAACAGATTTTGCAGCTTGGGCATACTTTCAATTTATCAGTTGGACAGTCTGTGTGATAAATTATTACATTGCATTGTTCTAATGTAACCCGTTTCTTGTGTGCTCGGTTATGCCGAAGAGTATCGGAATGTGACTCAAATGACCATGAACAGAATTCGGTTGTTTGCATGAATGAAGTGTTTGTTTACGATCATGTAACTGCATATTCTTCATTCATATTGCTTTCTATGTGTATACCAAATCTAAACAGATCATTACTATTTTGTCAGATCTCAAATCCCATTTGGTAAGAGTTTTCTGTATGTTGTAGTAGTAGGATATTTTTATAAACACACCATTGCAATGCAAGCATTACATTATAAAATGTACCATTTATACGAATTCTCTTCATTATCTAAAGTATGCATTTGGAGGTATTATTTGAATTAAATGGTCGTTTTATCTTTAATGCCTTGTACTTTATGAATACTTTATTCATTATCCATTATACTAGTCTGTGAATTTTACCGTTCACATAAAAATAAGACCACTGGACAACTTTTTTGCGATTGCTTTCTTATTTTAAACGCCTGATCATAGAATAGAATTTTCTGTATTTCTAGCCTGGTTTATTTGGACTGTGCACTTACAGGAAACGCGGTGTGGTGTTAAAGCATATATTTTGTATATGGAGTTGTATGTGGTGTGACATTTTAAATAGGAGAATGAGATGCAACGTTTTCCAGTTGTTGTTTTTTTGTAATGTGAATTTCAAAGTGAGGCTTTTAAATGTCATCCAAGCCCCGATGTGTGGTTTTCATATTGCTAACAAAATAATCCAGTACTTTTTATCTTCTTCTACAGATTATGTCTTCTTTGAGAATTCTTCAAGCAACCCCTATCTGATCAGGCGAATAGAGGAGCTGAATAAGGTACAATGGCCTCAGGGCTGGGAGGGAGAAGTCTGGGTTGGTGGACGCTGGGTGTACTGGTAGGGTGTCGACGCAACATTGTCACGACATCGACACAACAAGCTCAGCCACTTCAACCGGAGCCAAATTTCTTGCATTTCTGTCCGCTTCTCCCTTCAGTCTGTTGCATTTTTACTATCTCCAACACTTGTTTGTTGAGAAACTGTATCTGTGTGACATATGGAAAGCAACTGACTGCTTCCAGGGGTCCCTTTAGTGAAGTAGGATGTATGGTGACGCCTGGTGACCTGTACAATGTCTGTATTATGATCAAAGATGATTCAGCTCTTTAAATATTAAATGCTGAGGGATTTTTTTTAAGAAGCCCTGATTTCACATAATGCACAATGCAAAATCATCTCATTATGCTTTCGTTGTCAGCATGCTTCACTGCACAGTTGGTCATCAACTCTACTGGTGACTTGACACACCTTTTTACATATTTGTCAAATTAGAGGATTCAGTTGTCAGGCAAATTCAGTTCGCTTGCAGGTTGTTATTCTGCTCTGGCCTTTGCCACAAGGTCTGTCAAGCGTCCAAACAAATAATCGCCCTGTGGCCATTGAGATGCACTCTGTCTGCATTATCCTTCTCCCACAACCTCTTATAGATATTGATAGTCCTATACAATAGGAGAAAACAAGCTTTGAGGGTTTATGCATGTGTGGTGAATTTTATTTATTTCAGAGGTGTCAGCTTTACATTTAGTGAGATTATTGAATTATCTTCATATGGAGATTTTCTCAGGAAATATTGATTTATATAATTATTTGTTTGTTTAATTTTTAACATGCATATCATGCAACTAATTGTATTCTAATTTTTAATTGATTGACGGCAATAAATAATTAGTATTCTATCTCTTCATCTTGTTTAACTACTCAGCATCTCATTTAAATCTTGTTTATCAGGCGTATATTGTCACATGCCTTTTAAAAAAAAAACTGGGCTGCTTGTCGTTTTTTCGATTGCTCCTTAGAGAAGTGCAGACACAGCCGGTGTTATAAATTCATCACTGCACTGCTAATTAAACATAATAGACTGCAACCTCAGGTTTAAGCTTTTTCTGTATTAATTAATGGAGGTGATTAGGTTCAGTGTCCCCAGATACTGCATGAAGTTTCCTCACGATGACCTTATTTGTCTCCCCTTTCAGACGGCAAGCGGCAATGTGGAGGCAAAGGTGGTCTGTTTCTACAGGAGAAGGGACATCTCACAGAGCCTCATCCAGCTGGCTGACAAGCACGCAAGTGAGTGAACATGAGTGTTTTTCAGGGCAATGTGAATGTATCGTCAAGGAAACCAAGGGTGGTCTGTGACGTGGCATGCATGAGTGGTCATTTGCATGATAATTAGAAGTCATTTGAAATTGCTCTTGTATGCATATGTGCCTGTGCTCTGGTGCCTGTGTAAGTCAGCAGGGGAGCTGTAATCACTGGAGTACCAGGACCAGATGCCAGCAATTGGGCAGCAGGGCTTCCTAATTTCGTAATGTTTCAGAGGCCCTCAACAGATTTGTCTTTATCAACTGGTATAGGACCAGTTTTGCTTGACTCAGTGTTTCAATGCAGACTAAATGAAAGAGTGTAGGAAAAGGATAAGTGAAATAAATGTGTGGGCATGTTGTCTAAGACCACCGCTAGGCATGATAAGTAGTAGCAGTGAAAGTGGTAGTCATCTCATACTTGCATATAACTAAATTGTAGCATTTCTAGGAAAGTAAAGACAGCTGGCCTGAATAATTTCTGTGTCCTAGTTTCATTTGGGGACTGTTGATTAGACGGCAGAGGTATATTTCTACACTAAAACAGTCTAGTCAACACTGGCCTCCTCTCCAGTTGCAGTTGGTGAACTTGGTGAGTTTATAATGACTTGAACATACAGATATATATATATATATATATAAGGGCTGTCAAATGATTAATCGTGATTAATCACATCCAAAATAAAAGTTTTTTTTACATAATATATGTGGGTGCATTGTGTATAATTATTTTATATATATATAAATACACACACATGCTTGTATGTATTTAAGTAAAATTTTCATGTATATACTGTATATAGATTTATATATAATTTATATTATATATAAATATAAATATTTTATATATAAATTATATTTTTTTCTTAAATATACATGCATGTGTATGTGTGTATTTATATATATATACAAAATAATTATAAACAGTGCACCCACATATATTATGTAAAAAAAAAACTTTTATTTTGGATGTGATTAATCGTGATTAATCATTTGACAGCCCTAATATATATATATATATATATATATATATATATATATATATACACACACATACATATACATTATATATATACACATTATATATATATATATATATATATATATATATATATATATATATATGTGTATGTTCAAGTCATTATAAAATAAGTAACCCATATATGCACTCCTGTGACCACATGTTGCCTGGCAACTATAAACAGCCATACAGTCAAGCTATTCAATTATATTAATTGGCAGAAGAATAATATTTTTTGTAAATAATGCACTCTACTGTTCAAAAGTTTGGGGTTGCTAAGTTTAAAAAAAAAAAAGATTTTAAAAAGTCTCTTATACCAAGGGTGCAATTATTTAATCAACATACAATCTTTTTAAATATTATTAAACTAATGGTTTTCAATTTTAATATTTTTTTAAATGCAAAATTATATTTTTAAACGTTATAATGTCAGATTTTTGAGCAGCATTACTCCTGTCTTCATTGTCACATGATTCTTTAGTAATTATTCTAATATGCTGATTTTGTGCCCAATATACATTTCTTATAATTTTGAGAACCGTTGTGCTGCTTAATATTTTTGTGGGAATTATGTTTTTTTCCCAGCAATCTTATAGTGAGTAGTGAGTTTAAAAGTAATAGAAAACTTTTGTGACATTAGAAATGTCTTTACTGTTACTTTTGATAAATGTAATGCATCCTTGCTGCATAAAAGTATTACTTTCTTTTAAAAAAAAATCCACTCACCCCAAAATTTTGATTGGTTCTGTAGCTGGTAGTTATACTATACGACTAACCTAAGTTTAAGGAAACAGGTGCTACTTTTTTTATCGCTTAAGTTTTTGGATGTTTCCGCAGTATTTTATTTATTATGATTAATAATTATCATTGTTAATGTTATTGTTATTTTTTCAAAAACTCAGTTGCTTTGCCATAAATGTTGCTTTCAGGGTATGTTTACACAACATACTAAAAACAGAAAAGTTTTTTTTCGTTTGCTCTTCTTCGTTTTTTTTTTGTCTGGCAACGTTGTCAAAATGATTCCCGTTCACACAAACCTTTGAATGGAATATAACGAATAAAAGCGCTGTTTTATGCTGCCAGGCCAGTAGTTGGCGATGTCACTTTGTAAAGAAACACTATGCGTCTATAGACTGAACACGTAATACGCATGCGCATGACGTCACCGTTTTCCCAAATTCGTGTTTTTGTCATTTTATAAACGGAGAAGATTACGGTATCTTTTCAAAAGGTTGTTTTTTTCGGGCCTCAAAACGCCATTGGCATGTAAATGAATGACCAAAATCCATAAAGTTTTCTCTTTTTAGTTGAAAACTGTGTCATGTAAACGGCCCCTCAATCATGTGATCAAATACAGATTACAAAACAAATGGCCACTGTACTCCAAAGACTACAATTAGCAATAAATTACACTTTAATCATTTGTGTTGATCACAACCCAACACAGTAAACACCAAATGACAATAAAGAAGGCAGTCATCTTTAAGATCTGCTTTGTGTATGCAAAAAGTATTTGCATTCGGCTGATTCGGTCGGTCTCCTCTAATGTGGCTGCTAATGCAAACGTTCTGTAAAGTAAATATATTTCTAATTGAGTCATTTATATGTGGGACCATGCCTTTTGACCCGTTTCTAATTCCCTTCGTACAGAGGACCTGGAAGAAGAGAAGGAAAGCCCCTCTGAGCCAGACCTCTCTGAAAAACAGAAACATCAGCTTCGCCACAGAGAGCTTTTCCTTTCCCGGCAGTACGAATCCCTCCCTGCCACACACATCAGGTAAACCCCACACGTTCAAATGCTTCTAAACATATGATAGACCAAAACGTGCCACTTAATCCTCAGTACAAATTTTCAGGGGGCCGTTGAGGTAAGATAACAGCCCCCATGTTGCACAGCACAACCCCAGCCCACACCAAGATGTGAGTCACAGTTCTGCATCCATTCTTTAAGTGGCCAATGGCACCCCAGGGCTTTTGTAGCACCCGCTGTGATTCAGGTGATAAATGCATTAGCGGCCTGGAGCCGGGTGGCAGTGCTTCTAATCAAAGGGTAGCCTCCTATGAGAAACATTACTGGTGATGCTGAGGTTTGGAGAGGCCTGCTGTGCTTACTGAAATTGATATCGGCCTCCAAATAAAGGAAATGTCACTCCCTTTCTTCTTTCTTTGTTTTTTTCTTTCTTCTTTTGGCTTCTGTGATCCATAAATATTGAGCAGCCATTGTAGAAGGCTAGCTGGCCTTTTCATGGTATAATGTATTTTGTGAGGAACTGGACATGTCAAGATTGAGTTCAATTTTATAAAAAGAAAATTCGCTCTGTCGCCCAATATAATAAATATAATAATAAAGTATCATCTTAAAGGGGTCATATAATGGTACATGCACTTTTACAAGTTGATTGTACTGAAATGTGTGTTGGCAGTGCCTGTACACAACCATCATAAAATGATAAAAAAATCCATCCAGTGTTTTTGTTTTAATCTCGTTATGTTTTCCCCTGCCTCAAATTGAGCCGTTCGATTTTGTGACGTCACACGCTCGGAAGCCCCTCCCACGATTGTTGATTGACAGCATCGTTTCAACACAGACCCTCCCTCGCTCGTGAGAGCTGTCAATCATAGTCTGCGCGGACCGGCGCGGTCATTGTTGATATGCTGGAGCACTGTCTATGAGCAGAATGGCGTCTAAGCGATTGTGGTGTTCTGTTCTTGGGTGTAATAACGAACACAGCAGTCATTTTAATGTTCCTAAATCCGAACCGCTGAAGACGCAGTGGCTGAGTTTGTTTTCTATGGGAATATTCCCCACGAGCAACGTCAATGCTTTCATGTTTGCGCGAATCATTTCTCAGCAGACTGCTTTATAAACGAGGATCAGTATGAGCTGGTTTTGCCAAAAAGCTGCTCATGAAAAAAGGATCGGTACCAGCTATTCGTGTTCCTGCTGAACCTCTAGAACAACTGAAGTGAGTGTAACGTTTTATTAAACTTTATATTAATATTTATATTAATCTTTGCAAATCGCTATAGCTGCACGCTTCACAATGAATGCGTCTAAGGTTCACACTTAGGTTACATTATGGCATGTTTTATGGAGTGAATTATGTGCCAAAACCTCACACACACACAAAACGTGTTTTACTCACACCCAATGATTCACAAACAAACTCAATGTGGTTTGTAAATGCAAAACATCACTCACAAACTAATGCATATTGTTCTGCAAATAAAAAACGTACCTATCAAACAAATATAGTATGTTTTACATATACATAGAAACGTATTTCTTCAATGACAAAAATATCATCCAAGTACAAATTAAAATCTTTCAAGTACAAAACAAAATTATACAAGTACGAAACAAAAACCTTCATGTACAAAACAAAATTCTTCAAGTACAAAACAAAAACCTTCAAGTACAAAGCAAAATTCTACAAGTACAAAACAAAATTCTACAAGTACGAAAAACTGTCACGTGACTTTTGGCACTATTTTTCCGCGTCCAGGCAGATTTTCTCACAAATGCAGTTGAGCAACTTCCTCTTCTAGAACAGTAGATGGCGCTAAGATAGCGGATCAATTTCGCGCTAGTCTCTCGGGAGAAACACTGATGTGAAACGCGTGCTTGCCTTTGCCCATGGGAAAATGAGCGGTGAACAGGTGTGTTTCTGTCTTACTTTATCTATAATTTACCTTATTGAGGTTTTGGTAAATGTTAGAAATCCACACTAGCACTTAGTAGCACTCCACTCTAGGATAAGGGAATCTATAAACTGAAAGCTCTGCCATCATGTTGCTTTTTACATTTTTGTAAAAACGTTTCATTTACTGAATGAGTCTATTTCTTTCGTTCTCTATAAATTAATGAGAACATTTCATTTAATTGAAAGGGTCCCACTTATTCATTAATTTAGTTGGAATTCAGTCAGCGTAACTGTTAATGTAGCCTAATAAAATAATGAATGAACAAAACAAACAATAGCCTATACAATTGTTTCTTAACTTCCCTGTGGCGTATTGCCCAAATTATTATTTTGGACAGACAAATGAAACCCTCCTTTCAATTAAATTAAATGTTCTCATTAATTTATGGAGAACGAAAGAAATAGATTCGTTCAGTGTACATAATCACTAATTTAGTAATTTCACACGCGTCTTATGTAGAATTCTTTTTTTTTTTAAAGCAACATATGATAGAGCTTTCAGCTTAGATTCCCCTATCCTAGAGAGAGTGAAGTGCTACTAGCGGTAATATGGATTTTTGTCTAGATGTAATAAACATTTTGCAAAAGAAAACCTCAATAAGGTTAATTAGATAAAGTAAGACAGAAACACACCTGTTCACCGCTCATTTTTCCTCAGCTGTAGGCCGTGTTCTATTTCGTTACAGAATACATGCCCAAAAATGTAATTTGTAACGTATTCCGTTACATTACTCATTTTATAAATGTAAGAATGTGGCAATCTTATCCTGCTTACTAAACAGGCCTATTCTGGTGGGTGCGGTGCGGTGGTGACGCGTGTACCATGTAGGGTGGCACTGCCAATAAAGCACCTTAAAGCTGTCACAAAGAACCGGCAAAAGATTATGAATATGTAAAATATAGCAAGGAGATATTTTAATTGTTTATTAATAAACAAGTGTATTCTTTGTCAGTGTGTCGGCTGAAAACATGAAGTTGACGATGCTGACTCGCGATCTTCGCAGTGAAAGTAGTAAATGTCTGTGAGAGAGGCTACCTTATAGTTTGTAGATTGAGTAATACATTTTTGGGCATGTATTCTGTAACGAAATAGAACACTGCCTACAGCTGAGGAAAATGAGCGGTGAACAGGTGTGTTTCTGTCTTACTTTATCTAATTAACCTTATTGAGGTTTTCTTTTGCAAAATGTTTATTACATCTAGACAAAAATCCATATTACCGCTAGTAGCACTCCACTCTCTCTAGGATAGGGGAATCTAAGCTGAAAGCTCTTTCTTTCGTTCTCCATAAATTAATGAGAACATTTAATTTAATTGAAAGGAGGGTTTCATTTGTCTGTCCAAAATAATAATTTGGGCAATACGCCACAGGGAAGTTAAGAAACAATTGTATAGGCTATTGTTTGTTTTGTTCATTCATTATTTTATTAGGCTACATTAACAGTTACGCTGACTGAATTCCAACTAAATTAATGAATAAGTGGGACCCTTTCAATTAAATGAAATGTTCTCATTAATTTATAGAGAACGAAAGAAATAGACTCATTCAGTAAATGAAACGTTTTTACAAAAATGTAAAAAGCAACATGATGGCAGAGCTTTCAGTTTATAGATTCCCTTATCCTAGAGTGGAGTGCTACTAAGTGCTAGTGTGGATTTCTAACATTTACCAAAACCTCAATAAGGTAAATTATAGATAAAGTAAGACAGAAACACACCTGTTCACCGCTCATTTTCCCATGGGCAAAGGCAAGCACGCGTTTCACATCAGTGTTTCTCCCGAGAGACTAGCGCGAAATTGATCCGCTATCTTAGCGCCATCTACTGTTCTAGAAGAGGAAGTTGCTCAACTGCATTTGTGAGAAAATCTGCCTGGACGCGGAAAAATAGTGCCAAAAGTCACGTGACAGTTTTTCGTACTTGTAGAATTTTGTTTTGTACTTGTAGAATTTTGTTTTGTACATGAAGGTTTTTGTTTCGTACTTGTATAATTTTGTTTTGTACTTGAAAGATTTTAATTTGTACTTGGATGATATTTTTGTCATTGAAGAAATACGTGTCTATGTATATGTAAAACATACTGTATTTGTTTGATAGGTACGTTTTTTATTTGCAGAACAATATGCATTAGTTTGTGAGTGATGTTTTGTATTTACAAACCACATTGAGTTTGTTTGTGAATCATTGGGTGTGAGTAAAACACGTTTTGTGTGTGTGTGAGGTTTTGGCACATAATTCGCTCCATAATGTTTTCTATGTATGATGTTCTCAATATAATTCATAATCCCACGTTTATACTGAACAACGCGTTATGGTTACTGTGTTATTGTGTTACAAACGGTGTAACAGAACAGAGAGGCGGAGTCAGCAAAGCTCATTATCATTTAAAGTCATATGCACTGAAACGGCGTGCTGAAAACAGAGCTGTTTTTGACCAAGTAAAATAAGTGTTTTCTTACAATACTAATGAGAATTTTTAATTAAAGTATATTACAAACTTTTAATTTAGACCCTAAAGAATCATACTAGCTTGTACAAAAATGGCATTATATGACCCCTTTAAATACTTTGTACATAAGAGTGAATCTTAATTATGATTATGCACCAGCTGAATTTGAGTTACTGGTCTGAAATTAGCTGAAAAAACAAAATGATGGTTATTTTCGTCAGTTTCCACAATTTCGATCTAGCATTCTGTCCGCTTTAAATCAGACACAGAAATAAAGTAGTGCGGTAAGGTTACATTTATTTGAATGAATTAGCCTGTCGAGAGAGATGTGCGTGTGAATTGCTCCAACTCCTTCCTGAGTAATATAATGTACCGATTGAGCAGTGAAGTTAATTTGTTAAAAGGCGTTGGCAAGAATTTCTCTGTTTCTGTGTGAGCAGCACGATCTCTGATCTTTTTGTGCGAGTGATGTGTGTAGTGCGCTCGATTCAAAGAAAGCAGAGCATAAATGTAGAACGGTGATTAAATTGAATTGGAACTACCTGCGCATTCTACAGTCTTTTAATGCACACCTTCCAGCCAATCAGATTCAGACAGACCATGGTGTGTGCATATATATTACGCACCCTTACATCGTTGCAAACCTGTATGACTGACTTTCTTTCTGTGGAAAGCAAAATAATATATTTAGAAAACTGTTGGTAAGCAGACAGTTTTGGTCACCATTGACTTAAACTGTGTGAACAAAAAGAGTCATACAGGTTTGGAATGACATAATGGTAAGTGAACGTTTTAATTTTTGGAATATCCCTTTAAATTAGTAGCTTGGGTAGCTACAGTTTCAAAGTAGCTTCCCCAACAGTGCAGGTTGGATGTAGACGTGGCAGTGTCCGTGGTTCATGGTAGCACAGAGAGATTAGCATCCGCTTTCCACTGTCCAAAAGCTCCATAATGATTTTGTTCAGCGCTTTCTCATTGTCTGTGTCTGTCTCTTATCTTTTTCCTCTCTCTGCCCTTTCTCCTTTAATTTCCTGAATTTTATTATAGTCCGTCCTCTCACCCATCTGCTCTTTTCTCACCTTTTCATCTTTGCTCATGTCACCATCACACACTCACACATTCTTCTGTAATCTTGCACCTAGTGTCTCCCCCTTCGTCCCCCCTTTTACTGTGCTATGGATTAGAGGAGCTGTGGAGACAGCTGGATGCAGAACATAAAACATTGGGCTGCATGTTTTAATCATTTATCATTTTTTTTCTTCTGGGGTGGTGGAAATAGGGGGAAGTGCAGTGTGGCCCTCCTGAACGAGACAGAAGCTGTGCTCTCCTACCTTGACAGAGAGGTAAAGTCTTTAAATGCTATTTTGTATCTGATTGATTGGATGTCTAATTTGAATGAATTATTATTTAACTATTGCTTTCGCAACTCTCTTTCTCAGGACACATTTTTTTACTCATTGGTGTACGACCCCACACAGAAGACACTATTGGCCGATAAGGGCGAGATTCGCGTTGGTCCACGCTTTCAGGCTGATGTCCCAGAAATGCTACAGGAAGGTTAGTTATATTATCATAGATGTCAGTTTCTTTTAAATTTGAATATTTAGTGATAAATCTCAAACTAGAGAGCATTTGGTGCAAGTACAAGTAAACAATCAGAGTTGGGCTTGTTTGGCGGGTGGGGTATCTGTGTTCGCTTGAAAATGTGTTCTAGGGTAGGAAATTAAGATAGGCTTGGGGCAAAAATGCCACCAAAATAAATACAAAAATGCCCCCCAAATTCAAGATAAGGAGACAAAAAATGCCTCAGGAACAAAATCTATTATGGCTGTTTAGATTAAAGTAAAATGTGAATATGAATGAAAATTGTTGATTTGTTAACATTGCATCAAAGATTTCTTTTATGTGTTCTTTTTGCAGTGTTGAGCATTATAACCAATCATGCACATTTCTTTTGAGCGTTTGAATGTAATGGCCAATCAGAGGTGTTTAGAGCCAATCAGAGGTGTTTAGAGTCACTGGTGATTAAGTCCAGTGGTTAGTCACCAGTCACTAGCGCAGTGGTCTGGAACCTATGGTGCACGGTCCTTCGCTTTTGTAAACTGATTTTGTGGTCACAGTTATGAATATGCAACTGCTGAATTTTTTTTTTTTTTTGAAGTGAGCAAAATAATTAAAACAAAAAGAAAAAAATGGGTGAATAGGGGTTAGCAAGCCCGTAGCATCAGATGCCAATGCAAGTCCAAAGCAATGCTCTGTGCCGTAGCAATGTGCTATGGCAACGACATTTCAAACTGTCTGGTGGCAGATACATTAAAATAAACAGGACTTTTGAACAATTGATTACATTTTTATACACATTGTCATAGTACAATTCAAATGCATTTTGTTTTATTGACCACAGTTTTATTATTGATAAGGGGCACTTTTGATTAATTTTGAAAAAAGAGCAAGGGCTTGAGCCCCCAAAGATAAATGTATTATTTTAATCAATATTAATAATTATTATTACAGTATCTAGATAAATAATCAACAGTAATGTTGATAATGATTTGCCATATTGCAGTTCTGCTCTGTAATGAATTTTGATTTTAGATTTTATATATGTTATGTAGCCTATTTACATTATGCAACATTATGCAATTGTTGTGAAAATACATGTATGTCAACTTTGAGTAGCATTTTAACAATTTGTGTAAATAAACATGCCATGGCAGATGCAGCTTCTTGGAAAAAACAAATGTTTTGCCATGAAAGCAATCCATCCTAAAAGTAAAATGTGAAATGAATCCTGCAGGGGAACAGGGGTGAAATCAGACTGTGTGAAGGCATCGTGAAGGCTGAGACACGTGACCAATGTTGGACCGTCGTTGAGTGTATTGTTTTTGCGGTGGCACAGATCCCCATCGGTGGCTCTTTGGTCGATTCAGAACTGTTCAGCTTAGCAAATCAATGTGCGAGAAGAAAAGCATGCGACAAAGCAAGCAAACAACGAATGAAAACAACAACAGTGCCATTTGCAATTTTCAAACATTTGAAAAATCTATATTACGAAAACCATCTGTGGTGAGCGAGATTGGTGCAAAAAATGATATGCAAACGCTGCTTTGTTATGCGTATATTTGCAGTCCTAGCTCTTCCAATTTCCCTTTTTGAATGAATAATACAGTCTACTGCCACCTGCTGATATGGAGAGTGATTTCCTTTTACACAAGCCAAAATGTTCATGCTGTTGTTCTGTATGGGGTTAGATTTCGGTCACAATTCTGTGCGCGCAAGATCACATTTTGAGCGTGCAAAGGGGCATTTCGCACGCGCGTGAACTGAGTTTTGCGGAGAAATGTTAGTCTCACAGATAAGAAAATTATTTCGAGCGAGCGAAAATCTATTTTCCATTTAAAATAAGTATTTGAATGCGCGCATGTGCAAAGTTTCACTTTCTCGCTCCTCTCATATCAGCCCTGAGCGCTCTCTAAATGCAGACGGCTCGCTTGCTCAACACAACCCAGCGTTACAATATGCCATAATTCCAGCCAATCAAGAGATGAGGCTGCTAAATTCTGATTGGCTGGCTTGACAACCAATCACAAGACTCCCTGCATCATCGACAGCAGAAGAGGAAAAATACATGGTGGAAGAGATGTTTTTTTTAATAGCTTGAACACTAATTTAAGTTCAAATGTCTAAAACCTCGACTACCACACGTAACTAGCTTATTTTTAATCAAAATCAAATCGTACTACTATTACTATAGGCTACATAATGGCATGTCCCAGTGTTTCCTACTCCTCAAGTGGTAGTTCTAACTTCTTTCTGAACTCCAAGTTATGTAATTAACATTAGAGAAATATGAATGTGACCGAGTTGTAAAAATATAGACGGGATTAGTAGTCTTAACTACTATTTAGGATGGATATGCACATTGGGATGCAGACTTATTCTCCCTCACTGCAAAAAAATTAAAATCTAACTATGCGAGTAATTATATAGTAGAAGTTAGGTCACACACCCAAGATTTTCACTTACAGTTATATTTGCATATATATTTGGATTGTTACCCACATGTGTCTTTCTTTTTTTTTCTTCTTTTTTTTTTTTGCAGTGAGGGGAACAAGCCTGCATCCCAATGTGCACAGTATCCATCCTAAATAGTATATAAGAAAATAGTCTATATTTTTTTTAGTACGATAGTTGTTTTTACAGAGCATCTCTGCTGTGAATGTTTTTGTTTAAATAATTCCAAGGATATGAAGTAGATTGATTATTATTACATTGCATTTCTACGTTTATTTGATGGCTTTTTTTATTCTAATGCGAGTGATGTACCGTTTTCACACACTTATCTCATAACATGTAACATTTGAGACCCCAGCTCGGTCACATTCATATTTCTCTAATGTTAATTACATAACTTGGAGTTCAGAAAGAAGTTAGAACTACCACTTGAGGAGTAGGAAACACTGGGACATGCCATTATGTAGCCTATAGTAACAGTAGTACGATTTGATTTTGATTAAAAATAAGCTAGTTACGTGTGGTAGCAAAGTCCTTTTAGGCAAGTCATGCCACTCGGCCGCCATCTTGGCAACGACTCCGGGCAGCTATTTCGGACTAACAAGACCAGGCTCCTATCTAAATGAATGGGCAGAGAGTCAGAACTGCACTTTCACTGGTCACCGGGACATAAAAACTGCATGTATAGAAACAGCAGTAAAATATGATATAAATCGCTGAAAAAGTTTGATGACTTTGCCCCAAAATAAGGTTTAAAACGCCTTTTCCCCCACAGGTTATACTTTACTATGCATGCGCAAGGGTTCTCTCCCTCTGACGTGCGCGCGCTGCATGGTTTGAAACAGTATGTGTGAGCTTTTGCTCGCTCGCTCTAGTTTCCGGGAGATTTGAACTAATTTTGGGCATCAGGGAGCCGCTATAAATATGCGGTAGACACTTGGGATGTCTGATATTTACACAACGCACACATACACTGCATATCAAATCTGCCGCCTTTTCAAACAGTAACGTATTTTCCACTGTCGCAAACCTCAACTGTGCGCATGCGTCAGTGGAACCAGACGATAGGCTTAAATGTTTCCCGGCTTGACTGTTAAAGGCAAACGATTGCTTTCCAGCGGGAGGGGCGGGACATGTGCATACAACCGCCATCTTTGGCGTTACGGGTTTTCCCTATATAGTTGTATTGAGGATTGAGTAAGTGGCATGTCTCTATATAAATAGTCTCTGGTGGTAGTCAAGTAGTAGATATTTGAACTTAAATTAAAGTGTTCAAGCCATTAAAAAAACATCTCTTCCACCATGTATTTTTCCTCTTCTGCTGTCGGTGATGCAGGAAGTCTTGTGATTGGTTGTCAAGGCAGCCAATCAGAATTTAGCAGCCTCATCTCTGATTGGCTGGAATTATGGCATATTGTTAAAGCTGGGTTGTGTTGAGCAAGCGAGCTGTCTGCGTTTAGAGAGCGCTCAGGGCTGGTATGAGAGGAGCGAGAAAGTGAAACTTTGCACATGCGAAAGAGAACGTCTGCGCACATCCAAATACTTATTTTAAATGCAAAATAGATTTTCGCTCGCTCGAAATATTTTCTTATCTGCGAGACGAACATTTCTCCGCAAAACTCAGCTCACGCGCTTGCGAAATGCCCCTTTGCACGCTCAAAACGTGATCTTGCGCGCGCAGAATTGTGACCGAAATCTAACCCCATAGTTCTGTAGTCCTTGTGTGTTCAAGCACAACTTTTTAACCTGGACACAGTTGACCTGAGGCAAAACCACAGTCTGCTAGTTCAATGCCAGTTTGGTGTATCTGGGCCTTTAAACTAGACTAGATTTCAGAATGAGTTACATTGAGACTCAATGTTTTTTTTTTTTTTTGGAAGGTGTCTTTAGCTGCTTTTCCACCGTCGGACCAAACTGTTCTCGGTGCTTAACCGTGCCGATCTGGCCCTGCCGGATATGGTTTCATGTTCCACTGTGGGCCTGATAAACGAGCTCTTTGGAATGTAATACAAATATGTCAGTCATTGCCTTGGTAACGCAAGAGTTTATAGACGATATGAGATTTAAATGGCGACCGTGTTATTTCGGATAATCAGATATTTCTTTTAATTGTATTATTAATTTGGGTTTACGTCGCTCAAAAAACACGCCTAGCCAGCTGGAGAGAAACTGGTAGCCTGGCAACAAACAAGTGACCAGTCATGAGTGGCGACGTCACTACACGCATTCTACCAGCACGGTTCAGCGTGATTAGCCAACCGTACTGAGAATTCCGGACCGAGAACGGTTTGTAATTGTGCCGTGCCGTACCAGGCTCAAGTCGGAACATAACTGGAACCGTACCTTAACGTTCTTTGAAACGTTTGGCCCACCGGTGGAAAAGCGGCTTTTGTTTGGGGACTGGGAGGGGATTATTTTGTGTTTGAGCTGTTTGTTCCCTCTGGAAATAGTAGTCTCGTTGGGTTGTTGTGTTGCTTATTTGCAGTGTCAAATGTCACAATGAGTTTGGATCGTGAGCACCGCTGCATCACAAGAAAAACCTCACATTTACAGTATCGCCGTGTTCCACCAGTCAAGTGTGAAATTGCTCTTCTGTCAGTCTGAGACCCCCACTATGACTCCAACTGTAAGTCTGTGACCTTGCTCCACTCTCACAAACTTACAAAAATGTCCAGTCGACAGCTCCTATTATCTTTAATGAGAGGCCGGTGTGAGCGAAGCACTTTTCAGTTCTAGATTTAGATGTCTAGGTTTTAGATTTAAATGATATAGTTAAACTGTAAGAAATGAGATTTCATGGATTCTGACCTTCCCGTTTTGCGTACTTTTTTTTTTCTCATCCAAAACGATTCATAGTTCAGCATTTACGCAACGCAGGATTAAGTGCCTTGCTCTTCATTCGAATGACAGGCTGGTGGGCTGATGATGATAATACCTGTCATCATCATCATTCTTCATGATCTTGCTAAGCAGGCTGTCTTCCTTCATTACCGAACGGCAGGTTTGATTTACGTGTTAATTCCCATCGTTGCCACGGGAACAAGTTGCCTGGGTTCTCTTGACAGATTTGTGGATGGCAGATTTTACCCACTGGTTTTACACAGCCAGCTCTGATGAAAGAAAATTTCTCTTTAGGAGAACCTGATGACAGAGACCAGTCTAAAATGGAGATGAAGATGTGGGACCCAGAGTGTCCACTGACCAACAAACAGATTGACCAGTTTCTTGTGGTTGCTCGGTATGTCTTTGGATGCTTTCTACATCTATGCCATATTTATAAATCAACGCTTCACAATGAATCAGTGACCTTTCAAACAGTGGTTCTTAACTGTTTTCCTTCAAGGTGAAGATTTTACATTTGGACAAAATTCTATAGTACCCACACGAATGTTTATAAAACCAAACACTAAAATTTAAGTAATATTACATTAATTATATATTGATGATTTGTTTTCTTTTGAGAAAAAAAAAGTTTGTTTGGTTTCTAAATGTCTTTTGAATTTTGATGGTTTCAAGCCAGTAAATCTTCTTCCAAGCCATGTTCTTCCATGTATTGAGTCTCGTTTTTTTTAAACCTTGTATTGTTTTGTTCATGGCTTTTGAGGAAGAGACGAAACATTCCAACTTTTTGGACTCTAACATGGCGAGCCTCTGCAAAGCAACTTTAATTAATAGGGCTGAAAAAAAAGGGGGAGGAGGGATTTCATTCGGATTAATCACAATCTTCATTTGATTCGATTCTTGGAGGCAAAATTGATACTATAACTGAAATATACTCAAATTGAATTGAGAGCTTATGAATTGGAATAAAATCTGTATTGATGCCCAGCCCTACAGATAAATTTGCACCAAACAATTGGATCGTTTGTATATGCAACCTGTTTTTTGGGGTCGTGACCTGCCAGTTGAGAACTACTGCTGTAGAAGATACTGGAAACTGTGTCATTTTTTTTTTTCATCAAATTTGCATGATGAATCTGGTGATCTGTGTGCAGAGCGGTTGGTACTTTTGCTCGAGCTTTGGACTGCAGCAGCTCCGTCAGACAGCCCAGCTTACACATGAGTGCCGCAGCAGCCTCACGAGACATCACACTGGTACCCATCCCATCAGCACCATCTGTCTCTGTATATCCACTGGAGATGTGTAAAGCCTGATTAATTCTCTCCCTATCTGGTTCTCTTTAAGTTCCATGCTATGGACACCCTGCATCGGCACGGCTATGACCTCTCCAGCGCTCTGAGCGTGCTCGTTCCTCAAGGAGGGCCCGTGCTGTGCCGGGATGAGATGGAAGAGTGGAGCTCGTCAGAGGCAAACTTGTTCGAGGAGGCGCTGGAGAAATACGGCAAAGACTTCAACGATATCCGGCAAGACTTTGTGAGTATGCACAGAAAGTTGGAGTGGGGGAAGAATTCATTCACTGATGCATCAGTTCTTTTTCAAATGATTCTGAATCCGTCCAAAAAAAATCTTATTTGACAAATAATTACAAAGAAACTGCAAGTAACGCATTGAATTAAGTGACATTTTGAAGTGGAAAGACTGAAATAGTATTTTCTTGTAAAACTTACTCAAATAATCTTTATTTTTTCACATTGCATACACTACTGTTGCAAAGTTTGGGGTCAATAACAGTAATGTTTTTGAAAGAAGTCTCTTATGCTCACCAAGGCTGCATTTATTTGATCAGAAATACAAAACAAAAAAGTAATGTGAAATATTATTACAATTTGAAATAAATGTTTTATATTTTAATTAAGAATGCATTGAAATGTAAATTCTGGGCCGAAACCAAAAATTCAGGATCCACTTGGCCGAAAACCGAAAATAAGTTATAAGTTATAAATTAATGATCAATTAATTAATCAAACTTATTAATAATCAACAGTCAAATAGCTAAAATTGAGCTGTACAAACATTTAAATTGCACATAATGCAATTTTTATATAAACGTTTTTATAACACAATTCCAGTTTGTTGGTGAAATATAAACATTTAAACGACAATAAACTGTAATAACTTGTTTTCACAACAGATTTATTCAAACATACATTAAATAATGAAGACATCACTAACAGGTTAAGTAAAAATATAATGAATATGTAATACAAAGGTATATATATTTAGCAAAATGCTCTTCTCGAGTTTTTTCTAGCTAACTAATCATTAATCATTGATCCTCACAATACATTCAAAGCCACAGATTCGTTCACGAAACACCGCTGTGTGTTGCAGTTCTGCAGTGGCTTTCATTGGAACTATTATTGTGTTGCAAAATAATGCAAAAAAAAACTGACAATACTGTCTAAAATGTACAGCACTTAATAATACCGTTTTGTTTGTTGACCTGTTGTATACAATCAATGTAACTTTTGCAGTCGTGTGGATATTTGGGAAAAATTCCGTTCTTGCTTGTATAATATATTATCAACATTTAAAATGTTTTTGTGGTATGTTTTTGTTTCGACGAAAGCTTGAGTCGATAAATCGATCTCTATACACAGCCCAGAACGGCAGTAATGTAGCTTGATTTGCTTAGGCAGCATACTCCGCACGCAACCTATCATATGCACATTGCTTGTGTGGATGCAGTCAGTTTTGACCGCAAACTTGAGGTAATTTGATTGGATGCTGTATTTGACTGTTTGCGGCATTTTGCCTGTTGGAAATACATGCTCGGTTTTATTGTTATTTTAAGGAGGGGTAGAATTAAATGAACGGAAAAACTCAGCATTTTGTGTGGGTACCTCCTCTGTCACATCACGTACCCCAGTTTGGGAACCACTGCTATAGGGGAAAAGAAGAACAGTTTAAACAGGGTTGTTATACAGTATGTGGCACTGTTGGAAAAAAAAGATGTAGTGGAGCAAAAGCAAAGAATGTCACTTCAAATGATAGGATGGAGGAGTTGCAGCAGAGATGAGGTGAAGACATGATGTTCGGCTGAAGCGATGGGAAGATTGGAGCAGCTGAAAGGATTGGATTTGGAGTGTGTTTCTTCTTGACCTAACTGAGAACATTTGATCTGCTCATTCAGAGACAAGAGTACTTATTTGTATAGGGAATGGAGTGAAAGCTTTGGTATTGGGGTGTGAACACAAGGAAAAGCTGTTTTCTATTGTACTGAGAAATTGGATTTTTACTCTGGGGCTTTACTTCTCAAAATGGAATGAAAAACAACTGCTCTTCTACTGAGCCACTTTGTTGCACACAGTAAGAACTACTGGTTCACAAACACCAAATAGTCCATTAGAGATTGACTTGGTAGGGTGGTTTAAATGTCAGGTTTTCTCTTTCCCTTTCTGTCTTAAAGCAGTCATTGATGGTGATTGATTTGTGCCGTGATTAATAGATAGAAATGGATGGTGTTGAACATTTATTATCACCCCTGCAGGGTTCAAATACCTAATCGAGCTTGTCTGGCTGATTCTGCATTAATTCTGTACATGTGGATTAGAAGTTACACAGGATATATGGCATTAAAGTTCAAGCGGCCTAATTGTTGTATAATTGTTGCCTCATGAAATTGTGTTAAACTGTAGTAATAAGCTATTATAATGATTTTACCTTTTTAACACTGACAACCTACCAAAATGCATGTTGTCACCTCATTTCCAGAATGAAATTTACTAAAGATAAAAAGTTATCAGTGATTGTCTCACATTGACAATGTATAAAAAAGTTACATTTCCTCTGAATTTTTGGATTAAACATTTGTAATGACATTGTTTTATAAAACTTAATTTTATTTGGTTTAAACTATTTTAATTGTCATTTTTCTAAAGCACAACTTAAGCATAACAGTTAAGATTCATAACAGCATAACAGAACCTGAATTCATAGAGAAGAACTGTACTCTAATGATTCTCATCCTTATTCATTATCGGGTTCAGAAAACCGAAAGGAAGGCAGAGAAACCAGCAACTAAAAATACATAGCAGCACCTCAGGATGTTAATCTAAATGTTCTTCATAACACCAGCTGTCGGCACGGAACACCTTTGTGTTCATTTTTATGCTCTGCTCACCCTCGCATAGATGCGGGCCAAAAGTGGGGGCTCGGACAGCTTTAAATTAAGATTTCTTAAATTCTTTGCGACCGTTTAATGCACATTTCCTTGCGCTCAGCAGGTGCTCATGAATAATCATGCGTGTCTACATGTGATTCCAGACATGCCACGCTCAGACTAAATATTCCATTAATTCCGCCTATTTAACGAATTAATGCAAGATGAGCTGTATCTTCAGAATGGCACCTTCTTTCTGACATTTTAAATGACCTGTTTTATTTCAGCTTCCTTGGAAGTCACTGACCAGCATCATTGAGTATTATTACATGTGGAAAACCACAGACAGATACGTTCAGCAGGTGAGCAGCGCTTAAATTCTTGAAAAGTTTTGCTGTGCTTTAATAGAAGAAACACTAATAATCTGGAAATCTCTTTCTCTGTTTGCTCTGACTGTTCTCGATCTCGCTTAGTGCTGAATGTTTATGACTTTGTACAGAAACGACTGAAGGCAGCTGAAGCAGAGAGCAAGCTGAAGCAAGTCTACATCCCCACATAGTGAGTGTGGACATCTTTAAAACATCTGCATTTCAAAGACCTGTACACCATTCGCATGATTTAAATAGTCATGTTTACGTCTGATATTAGGATCAGTCTCAAATGCATCTCCAGTGATCACTTGCGCTCAGATTTCGATTTTGCATGTTTATAAACCTGCTGTAAAATATTATTGTGTGAAATGTAATTTGCTTTTCTTATCACAGTAATAAACCCAACCCTAACCAGATCTCCGTCAGTAACGGCAAAATGGCAACTGTGAACGGTGCAGCAGGCACAGGCAGTTTCCACACAGCCGGAGGCGGACGCGCGTGTGAGAGCTGTTTTGGTGAGTAAGGACCCTCTTCGCCTAATTACAGTCAACACAGCCATCCAATCAATTTACTGCTTTTCCCGAAGGACATGTCACGCCTCCTGTAATCAATGGGGCTGGATACTGCATTTTCACCCTTTTATCTTCCAATCTGATCAATCAAAGCTGAAGCGTCACAATCCATGCGATCAGCAATGATTAGTCTGGGTCAATATTGCTTTTTAGTAATGAACTCACATTGGGGAGCATAAAAGGATTTTAATCCCTTTCGACACCTAATCCTTTCATTGTGTTGTAGGACATCGCGTTATATTTCTTTTCTGTTTGCAATTAGGTTTCCATTAAAGTTAAGTGTTCCTCTAGACAGACTTAGTTATACAGAATGAATTGAATAGGAAGGAGATTTTCCTAGAGAATATGACCCACCAGGCGTAGTTAGACCTGCATTTTTATTTCTTTCATTTCATTCTTCTCTGTTGACAGGTGCACAGTCTGCTCAGTGGTACTCTTGGGGTCCTCCAAACATGCAGTGTCGCCTGTGTGTGTCCTGCTGGATGTACTGGAAAAAGTATGGTGGCCTGAAGATGCCAAGCAGAGCTGAGGGGGTAGAGGAAAAAACGCCTCCGAGCCCTGCACCCAATGTAAGTACTGCTCTCAGTTTGGATCTGCATTGAGGTGCATACAGTATATATACCGTTCAAAAGTTTGGGGTCAGTAAGTATTTTTTAATTTTTTTGAAAGAAAGTATATTTACTTAGCAAGGATGTATTAAATTGATCAAAAGTGACAGTAAAGACATTTACAATATTACAGAAGACTAGTTCAAATAAATGCTGTTCTTTTGAACTTTCTATTTATAAAAGAATCCTAAAAACGAAGTATCATGGTTTCCACATTGATAATAATATGAAATCTGCATATTAGGTGAGGGTGGGAATCTTTAAGCACCTCACAGATGCAAGTGTTTAACCACTTAAATACGCAGTCACACACAGCCACATGCCATGAGCGCTCTTCACAAAGCGCACTTGAAAGCAGCCGTCTGTTAGTAAGTGAGATTTGTGTTTTTAATATATATATATAGGCCTACTGCATTCCAAGCGGCATAAATGAGGGGAAAACAATCAATTTTAAAGGGAAAACAATGAAATGTTGGCGGACGAGTCTGTTAATTTTAAGCGTAACATTAGGCAAAGCATTTTTTACACTGCATTTACTGTGCAATGAAGCCTGTGATTGCCCTTCTAATTCGTCTATATACTTGTTTAAGGGTTTTTGTGTGTGTGAAATTGGCAGCAAGCAGACTATGGCTGTTTCTAGAGCACACTGCCATCGCTCATCTGCGGTAAAAAAAACAAAACTACTTTTCTTTTTTTCTGATAGTCTCAGAATCATTGAATAGAGAATCGTGATGCATCGGAGTTTCTTCTCCAACCCATAATATGAGAATGATTTCTGAAGGATTGTGAGACACCGAAGACTAGAGTAATGACTGCTGACAATACAGCTTTGCCATCACAGGAATAAATTACATTTAAAAAAAAAAAAAAAAAAAAAAAAAAAAATATATATATATATATATATATATATATATATATATTAGGGCTGTCAAATAATCAATCACGATTAATCACATCCAAAATAAAAGTTTTTTTTACATAATCAGGGTGGCCGCGGGTCCTTAAAAAGTCTTAAAGTCTTAAATAAAGTTTTCCTAATAAAAGGCCTTAAAAAGTATTAAAATGTCTTAAATTCAGATTCGATGGGTCTTAAATATTTCTGGTCACATTACCGCTAACATTTCTCCAGTGTGACGGACCCAATGTCCGTCAAATAACCAGTGAAGCATCGAAGCGGGAAAATTCACGTTTATTTTTACGTTTCTGTCAATCTGAGGTGTCGTTGCCGCAATGCGTTGCTATGGGTTGCGTCACTTGCGTCAAGTTTGTTGTGTCTTGCTTCGGACGAGGGTCTAAAACTCTGGAGTAGGCTAATGTATGGACGGCAGGCGTAACCGTAGCAAAAGTTATGTGTTTTAAAATGACAATGCACTAGTGTAAACATAGGTATTCCACAGTCTGCTCGGGAACTGATGTTCTCGAGCCAAATATAGTTATTTCAGTGAGTATATTGCTCGACGGCAGGAAGGAATGAACAAAACGTTTTTTTTTTTTTTTATATAATAAAAGGTAGTGCGTCGATTCAATTAAAAATATTACAGAATTCATTGAAGCCTGTTTGTAATGTATAATACACCGACCAATCGTTATCTGGCACAAGAAGTTAAAAATTTCATTAGACAATGTGAAGTGGAGCGGTCATTTTCCAGTCATTCATAAATCGTTTGAAAATAGATGGACAAACGAATTAACATTTATGAAGTGATCTGAATTAAACAATGGATGTTAATTGACTACAAAGCACTGCACAAAACCAGCACCAAAAGTCACATTACTGGTAAGTAGGTCTAGTATTAAAGTCACTTTTTATTTAGTCTATGTATATTGATGCGTTTACCATTTAATCAAACTATCATAGTTGGTTAAATGAAACACAGGCGCGACCTACAGGCCTATTGTGTGTAGTCTCTTATGTGATCAAGCCTGCATTTGTTTGATCAAAAATACAGAAAAATATTATTACCATTTAAAATGTTTTTCTATTTTAAAAATATCATTTATTTCTGTGATACAAAGCTGGATTTTCAACAGCCATAACTCCAGTCTTCAGTGTCACATGATTTTTCAGAATGTCAGAAACAGTTTTTTTTAACCTGTGATACTTTTTTCAGGATTCATTGATGAATAAAAAGTTTAAAAGAACAGTATTTAATTAAAATAGAAAGTCTTTACTGTCACTTTTGATCAATTTAGCACATATCAAAAAATAGCCCATTATTTATTTTAATTTTTTTAAAGAAAAAAAATATTACTGACCCCAAACTTTTGAACGGTCGTGTATATTGGTACAAAATATTTCTATTTTAAATAAATTTTTCTTTTTTTAACTCAGAATCCTGAAAAAAGTATCAAAGGTTATAAGTATATTATAAATTGTGGAAATATTTCACAATATTACAGTTTTTTCTGTATTTTAGATAAAATAAATGCAGCCTTGATGAGCATAAAAGGCTTCTTTCAAAAACATTAGTGTCCAAACTTTTGGCCGGTACATATATTTTATATATATATATATATATATATATATATATATATATATATATACTGTATATATATATATATATATATGCCCCTTTTTACATTTGAGCCCCTGAGGAACTCTCTGCACGTCCCTGATAAACAGCGATTGATAATGTATTTCTGGTAGCGCTGTTGAGACTCGCTGCCTGTCTCTGTGAGAGATTTTATAGCGAGAAATCAAAACAAATGAGCATAACAGCACACATAAAAAAACTCACAGAAGATAAAACATACTACAGTAAAAACTCAATGTTTAGTTTTTTGTTTATTAAATATCATATAGTTAAGTAACAACATGACGGGAGCTATTTTGCTGAATCTTCTCACGATTACAAATGTTACATTGATTCATATTGATTCATACATTGAAGCAGTTCATATTAAATTACTTCAATTACTTAAGTTAAACATTTAAATATTACATATACGCATGTAATAGAATGTGTATTTTCATCACAGGTTTGGTCTTAAATTTTATTCAAAGTGGCATTAAAAAGGTCTTAAAAAGTCTTAAATTTAACTTGTTTATATCTCTAGACACCCTAATAATATATGTGGGTGCACTGTGTATAATTATTTTGTATATATATAAATACACACACATGCATGTATATTTAAGAATAAAATATTATTTATATATCAAATATTTATATTTATATATAATATAAATTATATATAAATCTATATACAGTATATACATGAAAATATTTCTTAAATATATACAAGCATGTGTGTGTATTTATATATATAAAATAATTATACACAGTGCACCCACATATATTATGTAAAAAAACCTTTTATTTTGGATGTGATTAATCACGATTAATCATTTGACAGCCCTAATATATTTATATATATATATATATATATAGAGAGAGAGAGAAAAGTTATTTTAAATTGTAATATTTTACAATATTACTGTATTTTTGATCAAATAAATGCTGCCTTGATAACCATTAAAGACTTCTTTCAAAACCATAAAAAAATCGTACTGACCTCATGCTTTTGAACGGTAGTGTATGTATAGGGGTCATGTACTGTTATCTGCAATTGACAAATCAGAATAAAATATTTCAGCAAGCCGAGTAAAATACTTGGTTAATGTTTTACACTGCTATTCTACTGTTCATTATTTCATGTTTGTTCATAAAATATACAATTTTGCAACTTGAAATGTAAATGTATTTGTAATATAGAAATGAACATTAACCTAAATTAATGAATGGGAAAGTCAAATTTTTCTTTTGTTGTTGTATATAACCATATTGAAAAGTGTTACCATAGTGTCATCATCATATAAAATAGTTGATATTCATCTTGGGAGCCAATAATCTTGAGAGCGAGCCAATATAAAATAATTGATATTCATCTTGGGGGCCAGTAATTAATGACAGAATTAAATTTTAAGAAAGCCATTATATTCTCCCTCTCGCTTTCTGTTGTTTTATCACTGTCCCACTTTACATTGTTTATCCTATAGCAATCCTTAATTTCCTTGTCTGTCTCTCCATAGGAGATTCGTTCTCGTGGCCATGGCGCCCGTCAGTCTTCCCACATGGTTCCAATGAGGAACAGCGGCAGCCCCAAATCCTCAATGAAGACCAAGCAGGCGTTCCTCCTGCAGGCCACGCGCCTCACCAAGCTGGCGCGTCACATGTGCCGCGATCTCATCAGGCTGCGCCGGGCCGCGCGCCGCCCCTTTGTGCCCATTAACTGTGGTGCCATAAAGGCGGAGTGTAAGAGCTCTTTAAATTCCTAACTTCAGCCTCGCGTGCAAACGCGCACACACACCCACCTACACTGTCCCACCCGCTCTGTTCCCCGACCACACCTGTCCACATCTCGCTGTCATTCCTCCCCTCCATCTTCCTGTCTTGTACTGTTTTTATTATTATTATTATTATAATTATTGTTATTATATTTTATTTTGGTTTTTGTATTCTCCCCACCCCATTTCCAATAAAGACTGCCTGTCCTCCATATTTTGCGTTTCAATCATCTTTTCAGTTCAAATTCACTTTTTTCCCCACCAACCGTATTGATTTGGTTTAAGGGTATTACGATGTTGTTTAAATTGAACATAAGCACATTTTTAGCACTTCTCTCAGTTTGTTGAAGAGAGTTTTGTATGCACACATTACACAAAAAGACTGACAAGATGCTCTATTATGCTTGCTTCACCTTACATTGTAATTATACTTGAAATTAAATGCATATCATAGTCTGAGCCTTATATTTATTAAAAGCTTCAATGAGAGACTTGAAAGACTATATATATATATATATGACTAGGTGAGCTGTTGTTTAAAGGTACTTATTTTTTTATTTTTTAACAATGTGCTTTCTCCTTTTTTCCTCTTAAGAAAGATAAGCTGTTTTGGTTTTACATTCTTTCCCCCCTCAATATCATTCCCTGCACTCATGTTAGTGTTTATAATGCTTGGCGCTACTATTGAAGGAAATTGGATATATTTTTGTTTCTTACAGTTATTTTTTTGGGAGGATTTTAATATAAATTCAGTTTCAGAGTTGGATTGACGCAGTATAGGATTTTAGTGTGTAATATGTAAATATATTTGTAAATGGTCACTATTAGACTGGTCAAAACGTCTTTATGACCTTTAAAGGCGAACGTGTTGGGACGTTCTCAGGACAGTTGGTTGTAGCAGAAGGATCTCTTTGCTTTTGCACTGAACAAACCCCCTCTAATGTCGACCAAGGATCTTTTTTTTTATAATTGGTTAGTTTATTTTCAGAAGATTTTATGCATAACCTCATGGTCAAACCTAACCATACAATTAGTACTAGGAAGTACACACATTCAACATATACATGTTTTTGCATTTTCCTTTTGGCCTTTTGAAATTTCATTTGTTTATCCATTATAAAGTGTGCAATAATACTTTTTTTTTTTTTTTTTTTGACTGAGATCAAATTAATTATTACGATTATCTGTTACATCAACAGACGAAAGTACAAGATTTCTTAATGGTGCGTGCCAAGATTTGTAGTCTAAATAAAGTCCCTGTCAGAATAATCTATGAAGATATGTACCTTCTCAGTGTGGAATGTTGGTTAGTGTATATGCGTTGATGTCTCAGCTTTAATTTTTGCCATTTCTACTCAGCCTCTGAATATAGAGAGTTTCATCACTGATTGTACCCGAGAGAATGTTAATGTCTAAGGGGAAAATGTCTATTTTATTGTAGCAGAATGGTGTACAAAACAATATATATATGTACTATGATATGAAATAGCTAATTGATTTGCTATTATGTTCGCAGCCAATCAGTCTTTCGGTAGCTAACACTGACAGGCTGTTTAGAGGCATGTATGTAATGAGATGATGAAGTGTTAACTCTTCTGTTGTGCTATTCAGTAATGCAAAGATGATGGACTATCAGTCTCATCATTGGTGCAGTTTATGATCTAATTAATTAGATGTTCAATAAGTTGGAAGAAGTCATTTACAAAACACTGAGTCATGCAATTGGAACAAGAGTAGACATACAGTACATTAGTCTATTTGCTTCTGTTCTTCTGATTTATCAAATTTGAAGTTTGCCCTCTTTAAGAGTTTGCACACTAGTCTGTAATTTATCAAACAGCCAATTTTAAATGCTGAGGAAGTTGGTTCAGTGGTGTCAATTGATTAGGACTTTGTGCCTTGGGAAGTGTTACGTTGGCACAGAAAGCAGAAATGGCACTAGACCATTCTTCAAAGAGAATGGTATGCGGTTTATGCAATAATTCAAGATTTTTGAGGGCCTTAAATAGTTACTGATTAATTATTTGTCATAGAGCGCATGCAAGTTGACTTTAATCAATGAAATACTAAGTTGGAATGAAAGGGAAACATCCCAGCAAGCAATTTTGCGTTTAAAAGACATCTAATAGCCGCCCTAAAACGAGGCTGAAAATTGTATAGACGTCTAACCATAGCCCAAGAATAGACGCACAGGCTACGCATAGAACATGTCAAAGAAATGAAACACCTTGTAATCACTGTTGACTTTGCTTACATGATGGAATATCCTATATCTCATAAGTTATTTTGGCAAAAACGACATGTAACCAAATTCAAGGTTATTTTGGCTAGAAGTGGGTTACTTATAGCCGGACTATATCGGGTCTATAGTTAACCGAGACTGTGAAATGATGGCCATTGCTTGCTGGGATGCATCTCTTATATTTTTCAAATAAATCACAAACTAAAAACCTCAAAAATATGCGACAAGCTTTGAAAACAAGCCCAAAGATGAGTTTACAGATCATGGTTGCCAGCCTTTGCTCCGAGGACAGCTGTTTCCTCTTGACAGGCACTTGTAAATAGGTCAGTTTTACAGGGAGAGCTCGCATCAACAGGGAAAGAGAGGCAAACACCTGCTCTACATCTGTCCAATCACACGTTCCTCTCAGTTTTGCATCTCCCGCCTCCCATCATGCGAAACCTCCATTCTATGCTTCCATTCCACCCCTGTCTCCACCCCAGACATGTCTGTATGTATCCCCAGCCATAAGAAGTTGTTCTGACATCTGTGTCCTGAAGCACGAGGGACCCGGGTGGGGGCATGCTTTTTGGTTTGTCTCTCTCTCTTTTATTTTTCTTTGTGTGAATGTCTTGTGGGTAACCAAAACACAAATAAAACCATGGCTGAAACCATCCTATCTGAGTCCTTGTAGTTTCATGTGTCTCGTGTACCTGTCCATCACTGTTGCACGTACACCGAGAGGCCGAGCAGAGCGTCAATCGTGTGAAATCTCGGACAGCATGAGCTCCATCGGCTCCTGCCGTGCCTTCATGACTTGTGTTTACATGCACACACTCATAAGAAGCTGCTGTGAATGCAACATTACATTTGTTTTTCCTCTTTCCAACCTCATTCAACATGCTGGCTAACCAGGTTATGTTCAACAGCTTGCCTGCCCATCAGAGACCGTGCATGAAAACCATGGAATAATCAAGTTTACCCCATCGAAATGTGACATACAAATGTAAATATGAATAATGAGAGTTTAATAAAACACATTCGCAGTCATGAGGATTCAAAGGTGAAGAAAACTCTAAACACAAAACTAAAGGAGAACCACTCTTTCAGCAACCCCCTTAAGGCACAGGTTTCATTCAATTTAATGAATGGATTTTGTGTCAGAAGATAATGCATCACTCAGTTCAGCAATGTTTTTTTTTTTTTTTTTACATTCGATATATTGTTGAAGAGGTAAAAAAACAAAACAAAACAAAAAACCTGAAGTTTTATCAGTACATCTTCAAGACAGTTTCTCTCCAAGACATCAAGAAGAACTGCCTGTAGAGAATGCTTTTAAACAACTTCTGACTCCTTTTGGAGTTTTAATGAATTTTAAACGAACCGAAGAAAGTTGGAGTGATTGTAACGGGTTCATTGCGGTCAGATCAATACTCCGGAGTTCAGCAGGAATAAGTTATGTTCACAAGGGCCTATAGAACGAACAGTGGAGAAAATGAGATTTGACTCTACTTGCTGCTCCCATGAAAATGGTTGTCTGGTCAGAAAGATTAGTCACCCGCAGGGTTGGTCTATCACCGCAACATCCATCAAGCCAGCCTGTTCAGTTTGCCTCATGTTGGTATCTAAGTGTGAATGTCTCTTTCTTGCTCTTTGACTTGCTTCTATCTCCGTTTGTCTGTTCTGTACTGCCCGTCGATGAATAGATATGATCCGGGTGTCAGAGGGCATGACAGGGCGACCTATGAAGCCCAAATCCTCCCCGAGGAGCACCCTGACCAGCGTCTTGCAGTACCTTGGTGAGCCACACAACATTAGAGCTGTATCCTATCCACTGGGATGTAACTCTCGGATCACACTGAATCTGCTGTCATTTCAGAGTCTCGTCCAGCAACTCATGTTCAGCGGCCTCACCGCACCCCTGGTCTACAGGTGCAGCCCCCACGACGCCTGCTGTCCTCTCTTCCCAGCCATGGCCCGCTTGGCATATTGGGAAAACGGAGCTACCATCACCACAGCCGGGTTGAATCCGCGGAGAGGAGGGCCGGTGCTCCAGGACAAGGTGGGTTTACAATTAAAATGCATGCTTGTATAATATTAAAGATGGATGTCATTATAACTTGCTAAAACACACCTCTTTTTTTCATTATAGAAAATCCAGCTCATATTGTGGGACCCATTCTGGTAAGTATAAAATGACTGGATTCACTGGTATCACAAAACATTACATTTTGCCTAGTTTTTATTTGTTTGTTTATTTATTTATTTGAAATGGATAAGTTGGTGAAAAAGTTACTTTTTTATTAAACCAAAATATTAGATGTATTTGTATCATTTTTGTTACTTCTATTTGTGCTATTATATAAGCTTGTTTTGTTTTGCTTTGGTGTGTGTTTTGTTTTGTGTTTTGTTTTGTTTGGTTTGATTGTTTTTTGTTTGCTTGGTTGTTTTTTGTCTGGTCTTAGTTTGGTTGTGTTTTGTTTTTTTCTGTTGTTTTTTTGTGTGTTGTGTTTTGTTTAGTTTTGTTTGCAAAATAATTCTAAAGATGAGTAGGTATGTCCAAACTGTTGATTGATACTTGTCTCGAAGCAGGAAGGACTCTAGGTATTACCGTGTGCTTTCATTAGACTGGAAAAACAATCAATTTTCATTTGTGTTGACGAGACAAATTGTACATTTTTAGTTTTTAAAATTGTAAAAACATTACATTTCGCCTAGTTTTTATTTGTTTGTTTATTTATTTGAAATGAATAAGTTGGTGAAAAAGTTACTTTTTTATTAAACTAAAATATAAGATGTATTTGTTTAACTTTTATTACATAAATCCCATACTTCCATCAGTGCTATTTCATAAGCTGACTGCTTGTGTGTTGTGTTGTTTTGTTTTGTTTTGTTTTGGTGTGTGTTTTGTTTTTGTGTTTTGTTTTGTTTTTGTGTTTTTTGTTTGTTTTTTTGTGTTTTGTTTTGTTTAGTTTTGTTTTGTTTGCAAAATAATCATAAAGATGAGTAGGTACGTCCAAACTGTTGATTGATACTTGTCTCTCTACCTAGACTGGAGCAGGAAGGACTCTAGGTATTATCGTGTGCTTTCATCAGATTGGAAGACAATAATTTACTAGCATTTGTGTTGCTGAGAGAGAGATTCTTGTTCTTGAGAGATTCTTGAGATTCTTGAGAGAGGTTCAGGTGACAGCTTCAATCTCCAGCCTCTGAGGTCTCCCACTGATTATTGTGGCTGGGTAAAATGGAAATGAGAAGTGAGAGATGGCAAAATAAACACAAAGGCAGTCACTGTTCATCAGTGAGATGAATAAAGTAAATATAGTGGACGGATCTTCACCTCATTATTGACCTGTCAATTCTAAAAGAAAAATATTAGAAGTTGCTTTATTATTTCAGTTGTTTATCACTCTAGATATTATTTTTAATTTTTTACATGTGGGACCAAATAATTTATTGGTCCCAGTTCGGGTTTGAACCTAAGACACCAATATAATAAAATCGGTTTGTTATAAAGACTTTTTTGTGAATTTTGTGATTTAAAGTTTACTAGAGGTCTATGTCATATCTAGTATTTGTTGGGGAGTAACAAAGTTAAGAGAGAGTAACTAAGTTAAGAGACTTAAAGGAATAGTTCACTTAAAAATTTAAATTCTATCATCATTTACTCACCCTCAAGTTGTTTCAAACCTGTATATATTTCTTTCTTCTTCTGAACACAATAGAAGATATTTAGAATAATGTCGGTAACTAAACAGTTGATATTGACATCCGTAGTATTTTTTTTCCATCTAGTGAAGTCAATGGGGTCCATCAACTGTCTGGTTACCGACCTTCTCTAAGTAAAGGAGAAAAAAAAAAACACAAACGGGGTTATAATAACCTGCATTATTCTGCCTATTATATGACTACTTAAAATAAACAAACAAATAAATGCATGGGCAGTAAATATTTTAATGTAATTATCTTACATGTTTTAGAATATTTTACAGATTTCAATATGAAAAATAGTCAATTTCATCACAGAAAACAACCGACTTATCAACAACACAAACACTAATTTTATTCATGTGAAATTGTATGTATGTCATATATAAATGTATTCATTTTTATTGCTAATATGCTCTTTCAACATAGTTTTCTAGATTTTTATTTTATTTTATTGCTTTAACGGGAGACTCTTGAGCTTCTAGACATCAATCAAATGTTTTATGCTCTCTATAAAATCATTTTGACTGCAGTCGGTAACTCTTTTTGAATCACATAGAGTATCAATGTTTAAAAGTATTGGAAGTAGTTTAAGATGCCCATTTCCTTTGCTTTTTTAGCAGCATAATGGAAGCAGCACCGGTGGCTCTAACCTTCGCGCCAGTGGCCTGATGCTCCGTAAGAGACGACCCAACTGGATTGATGCCCCCGATGACAGCTTCTTCCTGGTTTCCCGAGAGACGAGGTGTGCAATCCAAACCTTGCTGTCCATTTTGGCACTATATCCCATGGCATCGCACTCCTCAAACCTAAACTTGTTGTGCCTTGTTCACTAAGAGACACTGAAATACACTGGCCCGTACATAGATCTTAGAGACGAATTTAATAGAAAACAGCAGGGCAGACACACTCCATGTCAAAAAGGAAACCTTACCTTGTTCTTTCATGATTGGCACCTGCAGAGATTATCCCCTGAGATGGCATGACACATCTGATTAGGTTTCCATCCTTTTGATTCAATCTTCACCTAAGAGTGACTGATTTCTGGTGACAGGATTGGCACATGTGTAATTACTGCATTGGTCATACCCAGTGGCAGTGGCGGGTAAAGAGGGTCTAAGACAGAGTTGTCAGTGTAGGAAATGGGCCAGTCAATCTCAGACGTCAGGGACAATTTTTCAATAACAAAGATCCTATAATTACCAATACCCATGATCCCATTAATCTGTGGTGGCATGGAGAGACAACTGAAAACAATTGATTTTTGATGCAGATTGAGGTTAGTTTTAATCCAGAGAGATGAGACTCCACAGGTAACTTAACACTTCACAAACACACATACGCTACCAGTCAAAAGTTTGAGCACACAAGACTGATTTCATGATTCTCATTATCCTAAAACCTGTTATGCTTGAGAAATGTTAAATGCTTGAAATTTATGTAGTTTTGTATTTAAATTTGCCTACTATTTTTTAGTTTTTATTTATTTGAAATGGGTAAGTTGATGAATAAGTTACATATTTTATGAAAATAAAATATAAGATTTATTGGTTTAACTTTTCAATTCAATTCAATTTAATTAAATCACTTACTTCCATTTTTGTTATTTCATAGTTTTGCTACCTTTTTGCTATCGTTTTGTTTTGCTTTGTTTGTTTGTTTGTTGGTTTTATGTTTTTAGTTTAGTTGAGTGTGTCCAAACTTTTGATTGCTGGTGTACTTGTCTCACTACCTTGCAGAGATACGCAGATTTTTGTGAATTGTCTTTTTTTATGTTCGTATAACAATGTATAGGCATAACAAAATATATCAGCAGTGTTGTTTAGACTGAAGATGGTCTCCACAGCCATCCTCCATTCAATACACAGTAATATGGAGAAAAGATTAGCTTGATATTTGCTTTTAATTCTCAGTCAAATGAAATGAAATTAAAAAGGATTAAGATCTGCAGACATTATTGGCTCGCTTTTTACCAAACATGTAAGACTGCATGAATTTTACACATTCACATGCTAATGATTGAAATCCTTGTTTGCAGTGAGTTTAAAGTACAGACTGGGTGTGAAGTGTGTCTGAAGGTCTAGTTACATTCAAATTAAACTAAAGTTAATTAATTACAAATAAAGATAATTTGTTTTGAGCAGGGGAAATTGGACACGATTTGCCCTGTTGTATCATGGATCAAAGTGTTTTTTATCTACTTTTTAGTGACTGTTTGCTTGTCTCGTTTTGTTGCTGCAGCTGTTAGACACCTGACCATGGTAAGATCGCACGCACCGTACACAAAGGCTAAACCACATTACCTGTGGAGTCTTGCAAAATGTATGAAATGTATAATCAAAAGAGACACTGTACACTTAATATATAGCGCCATCCTGGTGGCTTTTGACACCTCAACCTGCAAAATGTGTTGTTATGCGTAATGTGGATCAGATAAATAGAAGTCAGATAGTCATAATAGTTCACCCACAGCAGCAAGGGGTTTGGTTTTAACGTCTTTGGCATTGAGAAGTAGATGTGAGCTGAAGCTTGAAGAAAAATGCCTCTCCATTACAGCCACATCCATATGAGCCATGACTTGCACAGCTCCCTATGGCCTCCAGCACTGGAGCGGATGCTAGGCTAAATTTAGCGCCCCTGCTCTGAAAGATTAGCCTTTAACAAGGCAGGAGACCCAGAGACAAATGGGATCTGGTCTGTGGCTGAGCCTGGTTCTCTTGCGGTTTTACACCATCATCACACTCTGTCAGGAGTCTCTTTCACTGAAATTGCAATCAGTTCTACATTCAGAAGTTGGAGTTTATGTTAAAATAGATAGTAAATATGAAGGCTTCATCAACTGAAACCTATATTCTCACTATATAGTATTTGTAGCGTTAAATGTTTGCATTTGCTTTGCAAAAGAACTAATCAAATCCATCAGTGCAAAAGCATGCAGCCTAATCACAGTTATATTGAGGCTGTGTGGTGTTAATTATGTCTTTGTGTTAATTTAGTGTCATTTATGAAGTAAACAGAGATGCTATAAATGCAAGCACACATACACAGTACATTCTAGATTGTCATTATATATTTCTTGTTCGAGACCCAGTTAACGGTTCTTTTATTAAGGGCTGTCCCCTGTGGATGCCTGTTAGGCCTCATTCATTTTGCATGAACGTTAGACCCAGGCTGCGTTCCAGTCCAAAATTGTCATGCCCTTCACTTGCTAACTTCCCTCGTCTCGTTCACTCGGATGTACGTCATTGCTGACGTTGCATGAGTGCCCACTACTGGCGGAACCTTTTTTGCAATAGGCTGAATTGAAACGTGCTATGCCCTTGATCAATTAGGATCCACTATGGGGTTGATTTATTAATTATTTATTTTTCCCTTACGAAATTGTTTAATGCAGCATTCTATATGTATATAGGTGTGTTTGAGTTGTTTACGTTTTTTTTTAAATAATTAATATATCATAGAGTTGTTTATAGGGGGAAAATTAAACGGAATATGCGTTGCCGTCACAATCGTGCTGCATTGTGGTATCTGGAGCTGCCCGAAGTGTACATATGAAGTAGACTTGCGAGGGACTGTCCATATAAACTTCCCTCGTCCACTTCACGAAGTGGAACGCACTTCAAAATGGTGGCAGGGATTCCCCCGAGTTGAAGTGCTTAGGGAAGTTCGCAAGTGCGTGTCTAAAAGCGGACTGGAACGCAGCCCCATACGATTCTTTCCTTTCTCTTTATGTTATGGACCTGATCACGACTCAAGTAGAACATTAGCCTACTTATGTCACTAAGCCGTCTATCTATATTGCTTATTAATTACAAGCTCTAATATCTGTAACATGTGCCAAGCTGAACACAATTGTAGCCTACTGTGATACAGACAGGAAACCCAAAACCAATTCCAGTTCAACTTTCTTGATATTTTATATAGGCCTACATGTAATTGCGTTCATTCTCCCCTCACATTGCAAAGCTTGCTAAATATGATAAAGCATGTTAGTTCTTCTTGTGTTTTTCCTGTCACAATATTTTAGAAATATCCTGCTAGCACAATGCACACAAATGATAGCACAACACCCTGTGGTTGCACAATGATTGCACAACACAGGGTGTTCAATGATAGTTTCATGAGCATTCGTGAGCATATTGCTGTGACTCTAGTCAAAGTTTTATTTTAATATCAAAATGCTGATATAGGCTATATTTAACTTTTGATATAAGATTTTACAATATATTTTTTAAAAGAAGCCTCTTATGCTGACTAAAGATCCATTCACACCAGGAACGATAACTATACAACTATTACGATATATTAGCCACCAGCTCGAGCTCTTTAAAGCAGGAAGAATTCTGATTGGTTGTCAATGTTTTTTTATTATCGTTCATCAGCTGAAAAAATAATAATTTGGAAAGTGACTACGATATCGTTTCTCTGTGCCGTTCCGTTATTGTTATATTTGTGGTGTGGACTCTGCTATTCTTTTATAGGCTATTTAAAACAATTGTTAGAACTATTTATGGTTATCATTACAGTTATCGACCGTCCTGGGTGTGAACGACGCTTAAGGTTGCAATTATTTGATCAGAAATACAGTAATACTGTAAAATATAATTACAATTGACCTAATTGCTAAAAACATTATTTAGCAAATGTAAAAATATAAAATATCTTTTAGGGATAATAAGGTATTTTTTCATAAATTATCTAACAAAAAACATACATTTTTCCAGCTCAGCCATAAATCAAACCAAAAAAAAAAAGAAAAAAAAAAAGCATCTAATGTGTTGTTAAATGTAAATTTTGCATGATTGATGACATTACCAAAGACAATGATATGTTATGTTTTATTTTCCTGTTCCTCTCAGGAAAGCCAGGAGGCTGCTCTCCCGTCAACAGTTAAGAAGAGCATGTAGACAACCATGTGAGCAGATCAGCCTGCGCAGGGTCCCTCAGGGGCCAGCACAGGTACCTGTACTGGCGCCCCCTCACCCCAGTTTACGGATGCGGGGTCCAATCGTCATCCATGACTGACAGTCATCTGCATTGTTCTCCCCAGTCTGTCAGTTTACCATTTGGAGTTTCATTTGCCTAGTCAATTTGCTTCCTCTTATTCTACTTCTTCTAAAACTTTCGCTTCCACCTCTGGACAAAAGGCTTACAATAATAAAGCATTTAGCTAATAACCCGACCACTAAAAAAAATGATATTTGTATATTCAACACCTTCTTGGATGGCAGCCACGGCTCTTGTTTCAATATCTTTCTAAGTACTAAATGCTCATTAAGTTTCAATACAAGCGCAACTTAAACACTTTTACCTTACAGCAACTTATAACGTCGGCTCTGAGCACTGAGAATCTATGGCTGTGGCAACTAAACTTACAGGGTTCCACAAATGTGTATCATGTACAGATCAACGCTGATGCTGACCATTCAACAGACTCTTTTGAGAAGTGTTAGTGTACTCTTTGTAAATTCAGTTAGCTCTGCATTGAATGGTTTCCTTTATTTCTCTGTATCTTCTGTGCGTATCATGACAAGTACACGTCTGTAAGCTGTTTTTATATTGTATTCATGCGAGGACTGGATTGGATGTTGAGTTACTGGCTAATTGGTGGTTTTAACTGAGAGCATGTTTCAATCGATTCTTTTAACTGGAGATTTTGTAATGATTTGTGGAAGTCAAAGCAGTCTTTGCAACTCTCTATGTAACATTCATTCAGGACATTATGGTTCTGTTCCCCTCTTTAAGATGCCAGTAATACCCTTTAGATGTTTGTAAGAAATGTATTTATTGGCTTCTTAACAAATAAAGCCAATTTTTCAGCACTTCACCAATTAAAATGACAAACTGACCCTTTGGCAGAAGTCATAATTAAAATTTGGCTAAGGGAATATTCATTATCCCGGCTGTGTATATAGCATGTGACAGTGAAACAATAAGCTATTTTGTTTTCAATGCCTCATACATTTTTGTTGTCTTTCATTGTATGTCACACATTTACTGAAAAATGATAAATAAAAAAGCGCAGTACATATTGTTTTTCTGCATAATAGTACAAAAAGCAATTGATGTAACAGTGTACAGTATAACATATAGACATTCTAGGGCAGAATTATAATTCATTAGGTCACTGTTCAGAGTTCAAGCCGGTCTTAAAGGGATAGTTCTGTCATAATTTCCTTTGCCTCAAGTCCATGTCCTTCTATCATGACTTCCTACTGATGTATAACAAAAACAAAAGAAGATATTTTGAAAAATACAATGAACACAATGGGCCCCGAAATTTCTGTTTTTGGCCCACATAGACTTAAATGGACAAAAACAGTTAAAACATTCTTCAAAATATTGTCTTTGGTTTTCCAGAAAATAAATAAAGTCATACAGGTTTGGATCAACATGAGGGGTGAGTAATTGATGAATGAATTTTCATTTTTAGGTGAATTATCTCTTTAAGCCACATTTTATTTTCACCCTCCCAATTGCAATGATTGTAACAAACAGTTTCTCAGGTAGATTAAGGTTTTTTTCTGTTCTTCTTCGCACTCATCCTGAACTTCGTCAGCCCCGCTGAGTTGGTTGTGCCTTTCAAGGTGTCACGGAACCAAGCGTTAATGTGGCAGTAGATGACTGGATCCAGTGCACAGTTCATGTAGGATAAAGCTAAAGAGGCATGGAGACAAACTATGAGGAATTCAGAACAGGGAAACACTTGAAGTAAGATGCCAAAAGTGACTGTAGGTAGGAAACACAGAACAAACATGATCACAAGAAACAGAAGCAATCTCACTGCCCGCTTCACCCTGCGGTGTGCGCCCTTAGACTGCTGACACTGGACGTGAGAAAAAACACGCACAAAACTGAAGACCACCAGTGTCAACCCTAGCAGGACCTCCATCAGCTGTACTGAATTATATATCCTCATTTGAACCGACGGCCATCTCCATGACAGATAACTGTGGCATGTGAGCTTCGACGAGTTTTTCTGTGATGCAAGAGCCAGGTTCAAGGCGGCTGGAAGGCGAAGGAGTAGAACACCCACCCAAACTGTGCAAACCAACACTATTGCTTGTCTCACACTCATTCGACAAATGCGATGGTGTGGGTGAAGTATCCTGAAGAAGCGGTCCACGGCTAAAATTGACATGAAAGCCATGCTTGTTGAGTTGTTTACAGATATAATATACAGAACGAAGCGGCAAAAGGATTCACCAAATATCCAGTCTTCACCACGGAAGAGATAATCTATGAGGAAAGGCAGCACAGTGAGGAGTAGGAGGTCGGATATTACCAAGCAGAAGACATACACATTGCAAGCTTTCCATGGAGACTTGAAGAACAAAATCCCCAGAGCAAACACAATTCCAGGCAAGCCAAAGATGAACTCCAAAATGAGAATGGGCTTTAAAATGGAAGAAACAAGAGTCTGAGATTCCATGCAGGAGGTGATGTTACTCATGATGAAAAGCAGTGCGACCTTGTAACCTAAAAGTACATTAATATTGTGTAAAGACAGTTAACAAGTAAAACAGGAAAATCCTGAAACATTTATAATTTACTATTAAACTTTAGGGGTGAGCAGGGCACAACCTAACGCAGGGCTACTTGTAACACATGGTTTAAGTTTCCTCACATGCTAGCATGACAAAACTTAGTGTATTTACTTACTAATTCCCATATCAAAACTATATAGAGAAAAAAAACAGCAGCAGAATGTAATTAGTTTAGTTTGAATTATTAGAAAAAGTAATTATTTTCTATGAAAAGTTAAAAATTGCATTTTTATTAAAAAATTATTTTAGTTTGAACTGTTTATTTTTTGAGTAGCTAGTTCAAATAATATTTTAAGTTGTCATATTATGGTAAAGTTACATTGTTCCCTCACATGGGGCATGTTGTCACACTTCCTTTCTTTTGGGGTAAATGAAGAAAAAAGAAAAAAACAAGAGCACATAATTGTACTAGAAGTGTGAAATACAAAGCTATTGCCCAGTTCTGCTCAATTACTGGTGAATTATAATCCCCCCAAATTATGTTTTATTAATTCTTAGTCCTTAATCCTAAATACTAACCCTGGCAAAATAATAAAGAATATAATCATTCAAAGTAAATTAAATGCATTTTCAGACTTACCAAACGACCAGGGCAGGAGTTATCGCTGTTGTGGAGGAGAGAACAATTTTGTAACTTGTAAATTGCTGTGTGATGAAATGATATGTGAGCAGAGTCACGGAAGATCAAATTATCTTTACGTTTTTGGAGAGTTTTGTCGTTATTATTTTATTTAGACAGATCGCAAACCCGCATTAACGTTTTATTCTGTAGGCTATGCGGTGAATTTCTGACCGTTTGACATGCTGGTAAAAAATCATAAACTTTTGTCAAAATGTGATGTCACTTCAGAGCAGTAGAGCACGTGCAGCCATTACGTCAAAGACCGGAAGACTATTTTGCCAGAGGTTCCCCTTTCTTATGGGCTTTAATGATGGGGTTTTATCAACAATTTCTTTCTTTCTCTGGGATTGTGTCTTCGTATAGAGATTACTATTTGGTTGTGAAAAGCATCTCATCTAAACTAAAGTGCTTAGAAAGTGTAGACATCCCACCTCTCCCAGAAGGTCTGGGAGTCTCCGCATATTGATAGCTGCTCCCTGACGCCCGCAAATAGTAGGCTAGCCTATGCAATATCCCGGAAATCGACCTTTTTCTACCTGGTATTATAATACCATTTATAGGCTTACTTATTTTTTAACCAGGTTACAAATGGTCTATAACTTATGAACACTATAAAAAAAAATCATACTGTATGTAAAAATTTGGGAACCTTTTCTGCTATTTAGCAAAGAATATGGATGGGTGATATGACCAAAATCTTAATTTTACTTAACAGTAACAAAATATATCATGGTTTCACAATTTTTCATAATTAGAAAATTTATCTAAAATTAGAATTCATTTAGATTCATTTGACACCTTTTTTGTTTACTATATTTATACTATTCACTATATACTCATTTTTTTATGAATAAAACTAAAAGGTGAGAATTTTTGTGGTGTCTCATTCTTCAATGCTTCTTTTTCCACTCGTTCAATAATTCCTGCCCACTAAAAGCTGCACGGGAAAATGTGCTTACCCCACAGCCTATATGTAAACGATTTAGAAAAAGTTCCATCGATTCACACTTTATCATCGCTGTGATAGTGGCATATCACCCAGCCCTAACATGCAGTAGCCTAATGCTTTAAACACATTTGACAAGCAATACAAATCACCAACCGATCAAGACTGATTGGCTAACGCTATTTGCCCACTTGTCTGTGCTCTTTTATTCTTTCATGTTAACTGAAGGCAAATCTGAATAATGCACTATTTTAACTTTAATCAACAAGTAGAATTGATCATATTCAAGAAAACTTGCTGATCCAACCCCGTTTCGTTGGGTTGTTGGGATGAGGGGGCGTGTCTAGACTAGTTGATGCACTAAAAATCAGTATGAAAATACATAAATACTTAATCTTAAATGTATTTAAATCCAAATTACAGTAGATTTTTTCCAAAGGCTTTAAAATACAAAATGTATCTGAAATACTGCCCATCCCATGCACGCCTCTAAATGTTTTGAAATAGGCTTCCTAATCGCTCATGAACTGTGTTATTGCAATGAGTCGCCAGAGCTCCAGTGGCGCAATCGGTTAGCGCGCGGTACTTATACAGCAGTACAAAGCAGAGCAATGCCGAGGTTGTGAGTTCGAGCCTCACCTGGAGCAGAGTTTTGCACGATGACAAAATAGGTGTGTTTCTATACCTCTAAACGCGTAATAACGCTGGTACACAATCCTACATGATCAGCTATCTAAGCATACGTCGGAAACAGATCTATCAAGGATATGTCATAACTCAGTGCTAGTGCTAGGTAAGGCTATCATTCAGCAGAAAATGGATGGACAATTCAAAGGAAGCGCATTGTGTGTGAATAAACCAGACGACAATCTATTTGGCGCTAATGGCGGAACGTGGCCTCTAAGGGGCAGCATCGACTTAGTAGACATTCGCCACGTGTTAAAACCACAACGCTCTGGAACTTTACTCTGAAGTGTGTATGTCTGAGAATGATAAAGTGTGTTCAGGAATGGCCATTTTAAATATACAATTCATAATTGTACAGTTTATTTTGTTTTATTATTTATTTTCACTTCCCCCCTTTATTTTACTTCCGGACACAGCTGTAGCCTGTTTTCGTCACAGTGAAAATGCAATGCATTTATATCGACAGTTAAATACAGTGTTTTCTTTGGCACCTTTCCTTTTAACTTTAACTACATGGTTGTCTTTTTAAAAGTCTATTTTTCTTCACGTGATTTAGAGGTGTGAGTTGGATGATGATGTACCTTTACTTAGTCGCAGAACCTGATTTTAGCCCACCACATGTGTAATGTATTTGATTAAGACAGAGATGCAACAACATGCAACATATTCCTGGATCAATATCTTTGTTGATCCTGGAACAACATGGCAATCAACCAGGTAGATTTGAGGGACATTTATAGTTTATGTCAAGTTTAGTTTAATCAGGGTTTGGTGTTCAGTGGTTTTGTTACATCAGTGTTATTCACATATTTTCCCTCTGATTTTAGGGATAGGGTTAAGGTTAGGGATAAGGTTATGACTCAATTTTCAGAAAGGAAAGTGACATGCATTTTAGTCATCCAGAAACATCTCATCACATCAATGGTTTCATATGTTTCTGTTTAAATTTATGTTCTTGGCACACATTTTACATGTAAACATCACATTTACATATAAACAGCACAGCCTTGTACATTTTTTTGGTTTGATCAGATTTCATCTTAGCTCTACCACTGCCAAAAATCATGTCAAAATCCCACAAAACAACTGCTTTGGGTTCTTGATTGAGACAGAACAGAGCAGAATTCTCGAATAAATTATTTCACATGCTTTTTGTTTATAGCTAACAAGCTGCAGACTATCTATCTATCTATCTATCTATCTATCTATCTATCTATCTATCTATCTATCTATCTATCTATCTATCTATCTATCTATCTATCTATCTATCTATCTATCTATCTATCTATCTATCTATCTGCATCTATCCATCCATCCATCTAACTAACCAACACATATCTATAATAAGCAATATCGTATGAGAGAATTTTTTTTAATAATTTCTAATTATTATTTATAAACATATTTAATATTCAAAACTACTTTTTTAAAATGACTGACCTTTGTTTCTCAGTTTACATGCTTAGCACTTGAGAAAGCCATGAACTCAACAATGAAAAAAGGGAAGAAAAATAAATGCCTTTATGTGCGGAATGAATGACCATCTTTAACTTCTCAAGTTTTATTTTATTGCCTTGTCACGGCTCATGGATTACCATTAAAGTGCAATCAGCATGAGTGCCTGTGAATGAGTGTGAACCTGTGCTTGTAAAGTGTATGAGTGAACACATTGAGTGATCAGTGGTTAAAGAAAGGAGAACATTGTGGGAACAAAATTGGAAAAATAGGTTTAGGCAAAAAAAAAATTAAGAGAAAGAAAGAAACAAAGTAGAAAGAGGAAGCAGGATAACAGAGAGAAGAACACACATACACACATACACACACACACACACTGATGAAGGAGGCTGAGAGGATTGTCTGGATCAGATTTCTGTGGTAATGGTTGGGTGGGTCAGTGGTTAAACTGCTTCTCACAAACACATTCCAGAGCTGAGGCAGAGCGCATCTGGTGTGCAAGTGCAGACAAGCAGAGCCAAGAGCTTCCCTGCAGCACCTCTCTCTCTCTCTTTCTCTCCCTCCCTTTCTCTTTCTCTTTCTTCAATTGGGCTCCTTTCCACATCTTTTTTTTTTTTCTTGAATTCTTTAACACCATGGTTAACCCTCATGTTCTGTTTGAGGTCTCAAAGACCCCAGGGCCATTTGTATAGCTAAAACATACGTGGCGTGAAGTACAATGTTGACTTTTTCGAATCTCATCAGAATTTATTATAAACAAAATTTAAAATTGATAGCAAATGTCCTCCATTACAAATATAACATCACTTATGTTACATTTAGGGGTCTCAAAATAGCCGCGAGCAGAAACAACATTACAAACATTATACATTTAAAAAAAGAATAAAAATTACAATAAAGCAATGAGGGTTAACTAAGAAGTTTCTTGGCGCTTTGTTCTGGTTGTCCATCTGTGATTCATGATACAGTCATCATAAATCTTCACTTAGGATTTAATGCTAGTTAGCCCGTTTTGTGCATATGTTGCTCATATGTGTCCTTCAGTGGTATGTCTATAATATATGAGCCATTTACACAATGCATAAAATCAGCTTTAGCTCCTTTACACAAACACACATGTGCCATTACCCATAATGCCCTGTCAACAAGCTGCGGGAGTTCCTGTCTGGGGAAATAAGGGTTTAAATGAGGGAATTGATCCTTGGGCCTGAATGTCTGTGCTTTGTGTCCTTACTTTAGCTCAAAA